GCGCAAAACAGAAACTGGCTCGTAACCGCTCAGTCACGTTGAGTCGCTTTTATATAGCACGCCGTCTCAGTCTCAGGTGTGGTACCTGTGGAGGTCACTGATTTAAGTTGGCTATAAATACGGCATGCATGCCTATTGTGGGCAGGGGCGGATCCAGGATTTCACCAAGGGGAGGGCCACACAACATTGTGGGGCTCCCTGGAGTTTGGGGCCCCCTTCAAAAAAATCATTGCATTTCGGTCATTGCATTTTAGGATAAGTTGGATATAACATATATTTATACTTATTCATTTATTTAATGCATGTGGAAACCCATCTTACTGTGCACAGCCCTGTAAAGCTAGGCGTGCTACGTATGTGTATGCATAGGGCTAGATCATTTTCTACAGATGATTTTAAACACTGTGATTTTGAGGCTAAGTGTTTCGAAACAACAGGTATAATAAATTTAAGTTGGCTGCTAACAGCCATCAAAACCAAGTGTGGGCTTGGTTCCTGGCTTATGTATTTACGGCTAGCCGGCTGAACGATGTAATCAACTGATGGCTGAAAGCTAATGCAGAATTTTTCCTTTGTTATAAAGGATTTCAACATATCCCAGCATTCAAAATATGTTAGGAACGTGGTACACTAGTATGAGTGTCATACACTCAATAGGCTATGGAAATGACATGGCGTCTGTGGCATGTCAAATTACGTTCGGCAATGGCACGTAAAAATTTATCGGCGCATGTTCGACTGCTGCTTTAAGGCGAAGGCACCAAGGCCAGTAGGGACGGAACCTGAGCGATCACGGTTGCTGCAGGAGGCTAACAAAGGGCTCCCGCCAACAAGCATAGGGTCCTCGGGGCAAGCAAAAAAGAACCCAAGACCAACGTGGTGGGCCCCTAAACAACCGGCAGTGCCCAGGTGGGCTGACATATAAGGCACCGGCCAGAGCACAGGACCCTCCGAGCAAAGGGGCATTATCCAAGTTCATAAATTAGTGCTCCTGTGCGATCAAGAGTGCGCGGGCAGGTTAAAAACACGAGCCTCGATAGGAGTGAAAAGTCTTCCGCGAATGAGACTAAAGGGAGAGAGCTCTCGATCAAAATAGAGGGCCCCTGAGCGCCGCGTGTCCCTGTGCCTTACCTCATCAGAGCCCTAGCGACAGCACAAGGCCCTTCAAGCAAGTCGAAAGAACCCGAGAGTTATGTGAAGGGCCCCTGAGTGACTTAGTGTACCCTGACATATGGGGCCCCGGAAAAGCGTACTGAGCCTTTCGGGCAAATGGGAAGAATCCGTGGAGGAAAACCTGATCGATCAGCAGTGCTCAGGCATGGAGGCAGATAGCGTCTCAACAGCACCCTGGGCCCTACGAGAAAATGCAAAGAGATCAAGGGAAACGTCGAAAGCTCCTTAGCGATCAGATTGACACAGCAAGTGGACATATAGGGACAGGCAGCCAACAGCGTAATGCCTCTAGACAGCGTAATGAACCCCAAAATTCCCCCCACCCCCCGGCAACACTTTCTCAATCAGTAAAGAAGGAACTTCGTCTGCTTATGAACTCTTTACTTTTGCTAGCAACTGTTCTTGGTTGTCTGTAGGCCCAAAGGCATCCAGTTATGTTGTGCTTTTTACGTAAGAAACTGCGTCCGTCTGGCCGGTTATAGGCCCATTCGGAGCCTTTAGGTCCCCTCGGCGTGGTCCATGGGGCATGTGGTCCAGAGATGACCCCCAATGATGAAGTGCGCCCGAGTAGGTTAAAAAATAGGGCTCCCAACAAGAGCGTGGGGCCCTCCATTCTATTGGGAAGCACCGAAGACCTTATGTAACTGGCCCCAGAATGATGGGATGTGCCCGCGCAGCTTAACAGAAGGGCCTCGACAAGAGCGTAGGGCCCTTCATTTGATTGGGAAGGCGACCAAGACCAAGGCTAAGCTCAAAATACGCTTTTCGAAACTGACTCACCTGGCTTATGGAATACTGTTGGGTTTGATGTTTTGGTTGAACTGGTTCCGCTACGTTTGGTTTTGGTGGTTAAGTTGTGTTTGGTTGGTTTGTGTTGGTCTGGGCTATTTCGCTGGGTTATGTTAAATCTGGCATTGGTGGCTACCAGCCTATGCAGTTATGTCCGTAAACTGCTGAGATGACAAGATGTCAGTGAAGGTTAGCCTGTATCAGGTTTTGTGAGGTTGGCATGAGGACTGCCAGCCTTTTAAGTAAAAATAGGCACGATGTCTTTTTGCAGGACGGAAGATAATGTTGGATCAGGCTAGGTTTCGTCTAGTTCGGCTTGAAATGTTTGACGATTTTATCCGTGAAGATTAGCATTCTTGACAGCCTGACGTGAAATTTATTAAAGATTTAGTACGAACCTCTTGACTGGATTGACTTCCGGGACCAGCGCCCACGCTAAGCCCTTGAATGAGCCTTTATCCCACCATCCGATCGTAAAATTCCAGATCGATAGCAAACTTATGCGGCAAAACTAAACGTGCCGCAGTGTTGGTCCGTGTTGGCTCAGCGCAGGGAAGCAGAACCTGGCCTTCTTACGTCAGCTGGCGTTGGGCGCCGCCACTGCCACCGGCCGCGGGCCATCCCAGGCGGGAGCAAGCAGCGAGCGTCTGGAGCCATTCGAGACTGTCCCGCCACGCCTGAGACGGCCCGCCGCCGCTGCCACCGGCCGCGGGCCATCCCAGGCGGGAGCAAACAGCGAGCGTCTGGAGCCACTCGAGACTGTCCCGCCACGCCTGAGACGGCCCGCCGCCGCTGCCACCGGCCGCAGGCCATCCCAGGCGGGAGCAAACAGCGAGAGTCTGGAGCCACTCGGGACTGTCCCGCCACGTGTAGATGAATCAAAAGACCAGCGCTGTAATCAGCTGAGCTGGCGGGACAGCACTGACCCGTTCCGCACAATTTATTACAAGCTGATAGATGCGGAGCAAGGCCTTAGAACTCGAACCCAGTAGCACCCTGTGACTCTGACCCACATTTGGCCTCACGAACCGTAATAATGTATAGACCCAGATAAGACCTCGGGCCCAGGACCGAGGCCATGGGGTTCGGACTCATTGCAATGCGGGAATGGCGAACTCGGGGGCTCGGACTTCGGCTGCAAACTCCAGAACTTCTCGAGCTCATGGAAACAGAACCTGGTTGATGCCCGACGCCCGTCCAGTTTGCAGAAAACGACGCACGTAATCCAGGTTACTCTCAGCCAGTTTAATCAACGATCGACGATGACGGCCGAGCACGTTGGCCCGAGCGGTGTCAGTGCGGCTCCGCCCCGGCTGATCTCCGCTGCCGAGCGGTGCTGGCCTCCCGGACGGGCGCCGCTCGGGTCTGCACGTCATCAGCGCCCCTCCCCCCCCCCCCCCGACCTCCGCTGGGACTGCACCACCCCTGAGCCGGTCCAGAAGGCTTGGCAGCGGCCCGGCCGCGCCGTAGTCGTCGCCACTACGGCCGGTGAAGCTGCCAGGGCCCGCAAAAAACACGCGCCGATAAAAAGCTATCGTGTGTCGCACAGCCGTGTTTTCTCTCGGTGACTGTTCCTGGCACGTGGCCATCACTGCTTTCGCCCATCAGCTGGGACGAACTGGTACGTTTCTGTGCGGTGTATGTGTGTGTGTGTGTGTGGTGTGTGTGTGTGTGTGTGTGTGTGTGTGTGTGTGTGTGTGTGTGTGTGTGTGTGTGTGTGTGTGTGTGTGTGTGTGTGTGTGTGTGTGTGTGTGTGTGTGTGTGTGTGTGTGTGCTTAAGGACGACACCTGGCGGGGCCACGGAGCAGGTGTCGGCAGTCTGGGCGTGCAGTAAAAAGGAAGGATCCCGGGGGTGTCGTGCCGATAAAACTGGAACGAGGGCATGTCAGGCAGTTCGATGTACTCAATGGGCTTCGGGACGGAGAAATCCAGCGTTTTACAGTGCCGGACAACTTCATGCTGTCGCAAGCACATTGACTATTTTGAAAGCCTGTATGACTAGACTGAATGCGAGGCATCAGTGATATATTTTTTCTTGCGCCCGATGGTTGAGAAATTCACGAAAGCAATCAGTTAAGGTGTGTATGCTCAACGACAGAGAGCTTTGTTGGACAAGTTATACCATCTCCACTAAATGTCTATTAGAATCCGCTTCATTACGTACGCACCTGCTGATGGCACCTTTGCCACGAGATGTATCAACGCAGATCCATCTCCATCGCATCGGGCTCTTTTCACGCATCACGGCTCACGCCTCATCGCAATATCCTTCCCCCGCCTCCTCTTCTCTCATCCCGCCTGACAGGAACCGGGCAAGACACAGCGGCCGGGCGGCCGAGCGAGCGGCCGGGCCGGACAAACGCATGAGTGGATAAAGCTGAACGCAGTGGTAGACCGGGCCGTGGCGGCCGCCCCACCCCCAGGGGAAATGCTGGTGTGCGCAGTCTGGCTGCTTTTGCGGGGCGATCACGTCCGTCGGCTCATCCATCGCAGGCAGACGGCGGGGGCCCGGCGCCGCGGCCGGTGCCACGGCCGCCCCGGCGCCGCCGCTGATGCCACGGCGAGGGTCCGGCGTCGTCGCCGGTGCCACGGAGCGGGCCCGGCGCCGCGGCCGGTGCCACGGCCGCCCCGGCGCCGCGGCCGGTGCCACGGCCGCCCCGGCGCCGCCGCTGATGCCACGGCGAGGGTCCGGCGTCGTCGCCGGTGCCACGGAGCGGGCCCGGCGCCGCGGCCGGTGCCACGGCCGCCCCGGCGCCGCGGCCGGTGCCACGACCGCTCCGGCGCCGCCGCCGGTGCCACGGCCGCCCCGGCGCCGCCGCCGGTGCCACGGCCGCCCCGGCGCCGCCGCTGATGCCACGGTGAGGGTCCGGCGTCGCCGCCGGTGCCACGGAGAGGGCCCGGCGTCGTCGCCGGCTCTGGCGCCGTTCGAAGACGCCGGGACGGGGCTGGCAAGCAACAAATGTAGTCGTTAGATGGAAAGGTCCTCTCGACTAATGACGTGGTCATAGTCAGCTAGCTAACCAACACGTATTTTTCAGGGGATCCGCTCTACGTTGGAATGGACCTGACAATCGCTAGTTTCGATTCAATCTCAGAAGTTAATATGGTAAGTGCTAACCAGGCCGTCGCCCGCGCCGGCCGTTGGTCACCGTGCAGGGTTCCTAACAGATCGTCGTTAATGCTGCTCAGAAGCTAGAAATGCCATGGACACGTTGATTGTGGTGCGAAAACGCCCAGAATGCCACAGAGGCAATCGAAATTGTAATGGCCGTCTAGTTCTTTTGAAACGTATCTAACTAAACGACGCTGCCCAGCAAAACATGCGTTTTTTTGGTGGGGGGGGGGGGAGGAGGAGCAATGAAAAATGGCAGAGCCTTCTCCAAAATAAACCTATAGGGAGGTTTATGTCCGGCTTTTGTACTCTTGCGCATCTGAGAGTTGGTGTGTTGGAGGAGGTGGGGTGAAGGCCCCTCAATTGAATAGAAAGCTACACTCGTGGTTTTATGTTCAGCCTCAAATAAAGCTAACGATTGTACAACAATTCTGTGGCCTGAAATTCGGGTGGTCTTTCTGTTACTTAAGTTTCTACTTCAACGTTGCTATTTGTTGCGCCGTGCTATGTTACCGCGGATCAGAATACCGCGCTGTCACCTATCGTGTCGCATACGCTATCCGTTAGTGTACGCTTCCAGGGTACCCACAAACCGTTCACAAATTTCAATTTTACACAATAGTCCTTGGGAGAGGATACCAGAGATATCATACATTACGCCTCGCCATGTTTATTTTCCGTTCAGCCGTTTGACACATTTGTAGTAAACCCTATTCCCAGACGGACAAGTTAGGGTCTCGAGGGTTGATTGAGCTGGATTGGGCTTTAGACTGGCACCGCTAGTCCACGCTGCTCCTCGATGGTGCTTTGGCATCCACGTGTATATGCAACCCATTATCTATGTTTTGCTTTTCTTTTACTTCATCTCTAACCGGGCTAATTGTGAAACAGGTGCGCACGTGGTATTTAACAATTGTGGGAGTGAACACAACTCGAAAATGGAAACTGAGTAAAGCGCGCTGCAAGCGAACGCAATTTCTAGTGTATTGTAAACAGCATCACGTGCCTTCAATCTTGAATGCTGTCGTGTGTGCCCGGAATTTTTAACTGCCAGCGCACACTCGCGCACGTATTAACCATCGCCTGATTCGGTGTCTTTCATAACGCGAACTGATATTGCGGATCGATGCGACTTCCCACGCCTCATCGTTTCCAAACTAAGAAAGATAGAGCTAACGGGAAGTACCAGAGGACTGACCTCAGCGAGCTTTCGCGATTGGTTTATTTTTATGATTGGTTCGCGAGCTTTATGTTTCCAGGTCAGTAATTGATCAGATTATGCCAGGTCGAATGCCATTTTTTTTTTAATCTAACTTGTTCTGCTTTTCATGTTCATATTTGCCAGACCATGCCCCGTAGCGACACAAAAAAAGACATGAGGCATGTTCCTTGATCACTCATGAGCTTAATGATGTGTACTGTTAGGTGTTTTAAGCATTGTTGCGTATGACTGCGTTAATGTAACGGGGCTGGCGCGTCGCGCGCGGCCCTCGGCACCGTTGGCTCCCGCCGGCCGTCCGCACCGGCCGTAGACCATCGTGCAGTGTTCCTCAAAAACCGTCGCTGCCCCCAAATCAGACGTGCCAGGGACAGGGACATTTTGTATGTCAACACACGCGAAATGAACGTGCCGTAGGTTACAGGTCATTTGGACGTGATTGTACAATATGGGGGACATATATTTTCACAACACCTTAGGAGAGGTCACATCGACCCCCCATTGTGCCAAGGGCTCATACATCATGAATTTGGTAAGGGAGGGGAACTTGCCCCGTGGGTTACTACATGTGTCTGTCCCTTTTTTCAATTGTGCTGCACGAGCGGCGGTGTTTCGGGTATCCGCTCTCAAGGAAAATAAGGGATATTTGAACGCGCTGCACGCACCCGACTGTGCATCGTTGTGTTGTGTGCATCGCAAGATGCACACAACCGCTCTCCACATCTCCGGCTGAGGGGCTGATTTCTTAGCATTGATAGGGGGGGGAGTGGAGCATTTATGATGCAGTGTGATGGCGGAATGGGCTTCAAAGGCTGTTCGGTGGTATATCTACCCCCTCCCTCTCTCATTACATCACAAAAAGCGTGTCGAAGGATGGAGCTTACACCTTTTGTGTGGGGTGTTCCAGAACGAAAAATATTGTCATGGCGATCCCTTGTTTTCGCGAGGAAATCTGTCAATGAGCAGAGCTTTGAAACTTTATATTTTCTCAATAAAACTATTGCTTGCCTGATAACGTTGTTTAGCCAGCACCGTCTCAGACTGCGGTTTGATTATTTTTGAGCGAGCTCCATACTCATAATGCTGAAACATCACGATCGCATGGCCTGTCCTGCTTATGTCAACTTCGTGCTCTTGTCAGTGTGCTGGCCGCGCTTTTTATCAAGGTAGCCATTCCATGCATTTATATTTTGTTCAAGGCTGCCTTTTATGTGAGCGTCCAGTCAATGGCTTTGGCCTACTCTGTCCTCTCAGCTATCGACATGCCTATTGAGGTTGTGAAAGCTCAGTTTCACTTTAAGGTATGGGTACTTCCTGACATTGGGCATGCTGCATTGTCTGTAGACTTTCCAAGGAAAATGTATCGTGTACTTTTTCATGATGTTAATGTTTCATGTATGTTACATTTCTATAGTTTGCACGTGTCATTCGATTCTGCATAAACTGTCTTTTTGCGCCTCGGTCCACCTTTCATTAACGATAAAGTAGACGTTTTTCGGTGATCGTATCTGATCGTCTTACCAAGATGTTTTCTGTTAATTACACCCAATGCAAGCTTATCATAATCTTAAGTTTCATAGGAGTTTAAGATTGTCATTGTTCTTAAATGCAACTTTGTATCTTGTCCAATAAAAAGACATATTTTAAATCTATCAGAAATGCAAAACTAAGTGGCCGAAATCCGGTTCAAAGAAGGTTTGGGGGAAGGTTAGGTTAACCTTATCGGCTAAGCCCCCAACTTACTTTAAAGGTGACACCCCTGTCTGCCTTCCAGCTCAACGGATACTTTTTTCTCCGCCCTTTCACCAAACAGGACCACGGCTAGCTTTACCTGCCTGCATAATGCTGCGGTTCTGGCGCGCCAGGCCTACGCTGACCCCTGCCGGACAGTCGTCAGCTGACCTTTCCATGTCATTCGGACGTGACAATACGCCCGCTCTGGGGCACGTAACCAGCGCCGCAGGCTAACGAGTCGAAGTCCCAAACCACGAAGGCGGCTCGCGCTTTATAGCAGGAAGTCTCTCTATGACCGTTCGTACTGGTGACATCCCTGACTTTGAAAAATTGGCACCCATGTCATTACAAATGCCATCATTACAATAACAAGTTCCCGCATAGGCCTGGCGTCCTTCTATCCGGGAAGAAGGTAACGCAGGCAGGTACCGGTCTAGCTGTCGTTAGCTAGGCCGGTAAATTCGAGAACGTGGTACAGTGAAATAGCCGTGGTAATAACAGCCGTCTGTAGAATATAGTGGAATAGCAGCCTCGTCTCAGTGATATGAAATCCGAAAGTTCGTATTAGGTAAATCGTTGTCTGGTATTCATCATCCTTTGCTTTCTGAAACATAAACAAATATGTTGTGCTGGAGACTAGGAGTGAGCTACCTCATTGCAACCGTACTGCTGCTGAGCCGAGCCGAACCGAGCCGAGCCGAGCTGAGCTGAGCCGAGCCGAGCCGAGCCGAGCCGAGCCGAGCCGAGCCGAGTCGAGCCGAGCTGAGCTGAGCTGAGCCGAGCCGAGCTGAGCCGAGCCGAGCCGAGCCGAGCCGAGCCGAGCCGAGCCGAGCCGAGCCGAGCCGAGCCGAGCCGAGCCGAGGTGAGCTGAGCTGAGCTGAGTCGAGCTGAGCTCATGTTGTGCTAATTAATATCCGAGTCATACAAAAGAAAGCCGGCCGATGATGGTTGGACTAATTATTATATTGTTATAGTAATGTGCTATACCAGAACCTACCCACGTGATGCTAAAACATATGTTGCTGTATTGTGTATCCTAGATTGCTTCATACTGGGCATATATCTTGGTGGGACTTTTGACGAAATTGACATGTGTTGGGTGGCAACAAGGGTGCTGTAGGCGTGTGTTTCTGGCGGAAAGGCTTAAACTCCAGTCACAGGTGTTACAGCTTCCAGCTTGGTAGGCTCTTTTTACACAGTTCCTCAACTTTAAGAAGAAAGTACGCGCATTTTGCGACGTTTCTTGTGTTACGACTTTGTCCCCATCGCTGTCACCAGTTTAAAGGGAGAAAGAGAGGGGAAGGAAAAATGTTGCCACGTCCACGAGAAGCGTCAGGCTTGCTTTTCCCATGGCCAAAAAGAGCGACGTTCTTACGTCACTGACTTAAGTCCCAATACATTTCTCCCGTTGCAAGTGATTCGGCATCCGCTGGACTAAAAGCGCTTCTAAATTTCTTACTTTGTTCTTTCACACTGAACTCAGTAACGCGTACTTGGCACGCATTTACTGAGCTATTGACTTTTGCCCATCACAGCACCTTTGCCTCGTCGTAACTAGACCAGTAGACCGTAGCTAGACCATTCAGTAAACTAACAGCGCTCCTGATTGTCATGTTTTCTGATTTGCGGTTTCAAATCGATTTCACCACACTTGAGTCACCTCATGTGCAAATGTAGAGTGCATGAGCTCGGGCCGGCTTAAGATGCTTGTGTGGCAGTGAGTGGCAGCCTGGAGCGCAGTGTGGCCGGTGCAGGATCAGTTACGGGCTGGATTCGGTTAGGCTGGAGTCGATATCCGTGATGATTCAGCGGCCCGTGATGCGGTTAGACGGCTGCCCATTGCTGCAACGCCTGGAATCAGACACGTGATGGCCGGAGTCAGAACAACAGGGCACACATGCACGCAAGAAAGAAAGGGTGGAGATGCAAACGGAAGGTTGCTCTAGTAGCAACGTGTTACAAGAGTAAAAAAGTTCTTGCTTCTTAGAAGATGTTTCAATGCGCGACCATAAACTGAGATGCGCACTGGACTTGGTCTGCGTTACTAATTCTTAATTTGCGATGTCGTGGAAAGTCATTAGGTGGCAGGTCACCAACGACACTCAGCATTTAATCAGCGAGTCTCATGTTGGGGGGATTTCAGGTTCTGGGTGCCCCAAGAACTCCTTGTGGATGCCAGTTCCAGGCTTTGGAGCACTGGGGTAGCTGGGAAGAAATGGAAGCCAGACCTTTGAACTTTGGTCATGTACATCTTGGTTTTCCCTGCATTTTACTGTTCAGAGTTTTAGAAGCTGGGTTGTTGTTTCGCGGTTCGACGAGCAACTTTCTTATTGGCGACCGATCTAAAAGAAGAGGATGGTCGTCATCAATGTTGATTACTTTTTTGTGGAAAGATATTCTGGCATCCGAAAATGTTTTTTGGAACCCAGTCAATACATGATGCCAACGTCTTTTGCCTCTCATCCCTCGCTCCCTTGCTCTCGCTATCCCTCCCTCTCCGTCTCCGTTACCCGCAGCCCCTGAACCAATCCTGAAATCGGGCATTCCCACCGTCACCCGATAGGTCGCAAAACTCCCGTGGTCTCCGTTTGTTCTTCTCTGCCAAAATCATGCCCTGGCCTGCCCAACTCACGTCCTGCCCTGTCTGGCTCAATCCTGTTCTGCCTAACTCGTGTCGTGCCCTGCTTACTCATGCACGGTTCTGCCTTACCCTTGCCCAGTCCTGCCTTACTTATGTCTTGCCCTGTCTAACTCGCGCGCTGCCCGGCGGTCTGGGATGATTCCGTGCCGGATCCCGAGCGGCGCCCCCCCCCCGCCCCCTCCCCCAGGCGTCGGTGCTGATCACCCCCAGCGGGTGGGTCGAAGCGGCCGCGAGCTCGGCGGCAGCGCCTCCCGACCGATCGATGTGCGCTCGGCTCGCGCCCGACGAGTCGGGCGGCACCAGATCAACAATAACACGCGCCGGCCGGATCAGTGCCGAGACCAATTAGGTAGCCGAGCGCACCGAGAGTATCGTGCCGCCTGGGCAGCCACCGCCACCGCCACGGACCTTAGCTGGACGCGAGGCCTCGAACACAGACGTGAGCAGCCTGGGGTCTCGTCCGTCTCGTCGCGCCATATTCAAAGGAAGGGGATAGGATGGCGGAGCGATAGCCTCCAATTGTGTGGACTTCTTACGTTGAACGGTGACGAGAGCTGCGACTGAGATGGGCTGGCTTGGTGGTCGATGGGTAGTCACGACATCTGCTACCCAGTTTCTCGCAAAAAAGTAAAGAGCAAAACTATAAAAACCCTCCTCCTCATGCGCTTGAATTGACTCCGCCACCAGGAGAGCCCCGTCGGGTGTCCGTCGTTGTCGTCCATCTCGCGCCTCATGTGCGTTCATCGTATTTTTTGTTGTTGTGAATGAGCAGCCACAAAACATTTTACAGCTGCTAGTGCTGCCCGTGAGCAGCCACCGACGCCAGTGACATCTCTGGGGGGGGGGGGGGCACCTGAGAGCGGTCGGAATCCCGCACAGGTAACCCAGGCGCCGCACATGCACTGCGCTCAGTGTAGCAAGAGCAAGCGATCGTGGACGGAGATTTTCAGTGCGGTTTACCAATCAGTCACGCAGTACCAGGAGCAGAAAAAATCGTCGGAGCTTCGGAGAGGAACCAATGGGTTTCCTTTCACCTGACCTTCCCCGCGCCCTCGTTGGCGCCTCGTTCAGCGCCCTTTCGGCCTCGCGCGGCTCATTTTTCGGAAATCTCCACCGCACAGCTCTGCTACAGAACAGAGCCAAGTGGGCCGGGCCCGTTCCGTTTGGCAGCGTTAATGTGTTTCTGCGGGCCTCCGCTGCTCTCAAAAGAGCTGTCGGTCTCATCTGCTGACGAGTCGCCGTCGCCTCAATGCTCGCTCGTCGGCCGGTAGTTTTTTTCTGGCTCTGCTGTGCTGTCGTACGGAGAACGCTTTAATGCCGCCCGCAGCGCGATTTTGCAGCAGCAGCACAGACCAGACTGACGCCCAATTCTGAGTAGCATAGATATTGGCGGACGGAAGCTAGAGACGATGGCGGACATCCGAGGGCGCCAGACAAGCAAAACCAATAGGTGCCCATGATTGCTGATAAATTGCTTTAGTTGGACTCGATGAGAAAACGAGAACTGCATGACAGTTCTGCAACTCAAGAAAATGTGAGAAAATTGTTGATAAGATGACGCAATCGGTTGTCGCGGTGGAGCCGTTTTCCCATATGTGTTGTTTCAATGTCGGTTCATTTCAGGCGGGATTCACAGAATATCAAGAAAATTTTGTTTGCGTTTTCAGAAATCAGCCTTTGTGTAGCCATTACGATTTCAAGACAAGAAGACTCTACCTACCAAGAACTATTTTCCTGACTGTCTGGAGGCTGAAAAAGTACCCCCCGCTGTTGACCAGCTGAGTGTTTGGAAGTACCCCCGCTGTTGACCAACTGAGTGTTTGGAAGCATCATACACAGCACAAGCCGTAGAGAGACTGACATTGGGACAGTTTCTGGAGGGGGAGGAGGCATACGAAAAACGTCGCGACAACGTTCTACGCAAAATGCTGCATGCATTTTAAAACGTCGAAATTTCGCGATGGCTCTTAACCTGTTGAACACCGGGAGATGTCAAGCATGACTTCTAGTCAAACAGAACGGTCTCCAAGGTGGCAGCACGTGTTTGAAGGCAGGAAAAGCACGGTAAAATTACTCTAACTATCGATCTTTACGGCATCCCAACCCGTTTAAAGCAAGATTTAAACACTCAGTGCAGTAAGACATCGCGGAAACCGCTTGCGTCGCTTCCCACACAACATGCTCCCATGTGACAAATGAATGAGCCACGTCTAAAGCAAATCAGACAGCATCACATCGCAACGGGTTCGTGGGTTGTTTTCAAGGGCTCGTTGGGCTGACGTCATGCGGTGGTTGTTTGCAGGATTACACTATCACGATGTACCTGAACCAGTACTGGAAGGACGAGCGCTTGGCGTTCAGCAATGGTGACGACATCCTCACTCTGTCGGGTGACTTCGCCGAGAAGATCTGGGTGCCAGACACCTATTTTGATAATGATAAAAACAGGTATGTGGCGCAGTTGCCGGCAGCTCGCTGTGCAGTGGATACGACAATTTACCATCTCATGAGCTGGGTGCTGTCCTAGCGTTTCGCGTGTCGCGCGCAGACCACGTTTGCAGTTTCCGGGATAATATCACTGACAGGCTGAGCGGGTGATGTGACCGATCACGATGTGACAGAATTGTGCCCCGTTTTCGGGACCACGCGACCCCTTAGACTTCTCCCAAATAGTCAGATGTGGAGCATTACGGCGGTCTCGGCAGTGAAGCCACAATGCTTCATAAGCATTACTTATGTATGTGACTAGTCGACTGAAAAAGTTACGGTTAAGCTGATGCATGATCTTTGGCGCAAGCAAGCAAGCCAGGAAAACTCGCTCAAGCCTCATCAGCGCCGGATCCGAAACACATCGCTTGAATACTACAAAGCAATCTTACGTCATTTCCCTCCAAATGGCCCCGCCTTTTGCTTCCAGTTTTCTTCACGATGTGACGGAGAAGAACAAGATGGTGCGCTTGCACGGTGACGGCAGCATCACCTACGGCATGCGCTTCACCACTACGCTGGCCTGCATGATGGACCTGCGGTACTACCCGCTCGACAGCCAGAACTGCACTGTCGAGATCGAGAGCTGTGAGTCGGGAGCTGTCGAGCTGTAGCCGAGTCGAGAGCACAGTCGAGAGCTGTGAGAGGTCGGCCCAAGCGTGCTGCCGCGGTTCGCGGGCCGACCTCCGCTTCTGACGATGGCTGACGGATGGCCGCCAGGAACGCTGCGTTCAGGGGACGTGGAGAAGTGTGTGGTATAGCTGATGTCACTTTTGGAACCCAATACGGCAGTTATGGCTTCTAAAAATTAGTGCCAAAAGCGTAGCATAGCCGGGAAAAGCTTCTGACTTCGCCATATATGGTAGGTTTCTGTGTTTACTGTCGCTCCGATTTACGTTGCCCTTTCTACACTTCCCACAAAACCAAAAACCGCTAACTGTTGGGTATGTCGCTATCAGCTTCAGGCAGGACAAGGGATATTTTGGCAGCGACCTGGGCGATAAAGAATAGGGAATGTATGCTGTCGACCTCATTCATTACGTCGTACACCATACATTCCGCGCCTTTCGGCGTTCGCAGCGACCTGGACGACAATGAGTATTTGGCGTCGACCTCGTTCATGACGTCATACCCCAAAGATTCTGTGCCTCTTGGTCTTTGCAGCGATCCGGACGACAATGAATGTACGTGACGCCAAATAGAATCTTTCCCGGACGCGCATAATCTTTTTCTGTGACTCGATCGGAGTGGTACAAAATTGGTGCAACAGGATCAATTATAAAGTGGTCAATTTGCGTGCCCAGGGCCGACCACGAGTGATGAAAATGTGTCCTATTTATTTAAAACAGCAGCACTTGCAGTTTCATTGTTGGAAGGACTCATGGAACCTGCAGCAGGAAATGTTGTGTTTTTGCATGCGCAGTTATTACCACAACAGTTACGGATAGGTAATCAGAAAAATTGCGCTGCAAACACGCCCGGCAAAAATTATACATGGCGTCACACAAAATATAACATCTTTGGTGCGCTGCGAACACGCCCAAGAACTTCTGCGTGCGACAGCCGCATTATGGCTACAGTAGTAAACAGCAGATCACATACCTGGCACGTGTGTCACTTGTTTTCCTCAGCGGGGTATAACAAGTGGCCTGCTAACAATGGGCGCGGTGGACAGAAACGGAGATGAGCGCGATTAGGCCCTAGATAGTGTTCACGACACTATTGCCCTTTTGCCCACCACACTGGAGGCTCTAGCCAGTAAAATCGTCTTATTAACGTAAAGATTGTCGTAGTCTTTCGCCTTAATGTGTGCAAGCTTAGTAAGTGAACTGCCGTCCTTAAAAACGAACAACCCTAATGGAGAGCATTCGGACGAACACCCGGCACGGCCACCCGCAACTTCGGGAGCCGCACTCCAGCTGACTGGAAGGCCGAGGGACCGTGGAGCGAGCGACCACAGCGCCTTACAGCGCTGTGGAGCGCCTTACACGGGGACGGCGACGGCGAGCGCCTTACACGGGGACGCGACCTGTGCGGGCTCGCTGACGCGTCTGCAGCAGTCTCTCAGCGCACCACGCCAGTGCTCGGAGCGTTCAGGCGTTGCGCGGCGGCCGGTGGCGTGCCAGGGCGACGAATTGACGGCTCGAACTGGGTGAACGGCGTCGACCGGATCAATACGGCGATGACGGCACCCGACTCAGCTGGCCCGCTTCCGACCGGGAGGTGCGCCGCCTTATTAATTGATAGACGGAGTGGGCCGTGCGTCATCAAGAGAGAGGCGGCGGCGCGGGCGGCAGAGGAGCGACTCCTTCCCGGGCGAGGTGGGGAAAGAGGGACGCGCAAGATGATGGGTGACCGTTATTTAAACCTGTCAGCGTCCTTCAGAATAGGAAGGCTGTAATCTCCCACTTTTAAAAATACGACTCACTGGTTTTGCGGTTGGTCTCCGTACCAAAGCATAGTTCTCGCTTCTCCTTCCACGCCTTGCGCAGCGGTGTGATCAGTGCACACCTGCCAATAGGTCACTGAAGTGGCCAGACGAGAACAGGCGACTTGCTTCAGATTTTCACAGTTTGACGGAGGTGTCGCCTAAACTGATGTTCGGTAAAGTGGGCTTCACCTGACGAATGTAGCTATCGGGTGTTGTTGACATTAGTCGACTGACTTGATCTGTGAGCGCCGGTCAGGCGGCGTCCTCTGACGAAAAAGGCAGCGGTGACCTAGGAGGGTCAACACCGGGAGTGTTGACACGCCTGCTTCATTGGGTTGACCTTTGTCTGGGCAGCCATATTGCTGTTGGTCCAAGCTCTCGACAGAAGCTATGGCCATTCATGGTGGTCCATGGGCACGTGATCTTATCTCGATTGTTGATGGGTATATTATTTTTGCTTCAATACTTGAAGGACAGGAAATGCCGTTGAGGGCATTGTTATAATAGCCTTGTAGTGGTCGACGGAGGTCGGCGAATCTGATACCGTTGTCTAGCTGTCTGAAACGTTTGGTCGGCCATAAGTGCACATTCGGTATACTTTATCCACTTTTCTTCTATTGATCGTCTGTAATTTATCGATGTCCGTGCCTGTTCTGTTAACGCATAACGTGAAAAGGCGTATTGCCGCATATGAGAGCATCGTTATCTAGCGTTCCACTTCATGTCCAACAGCGGCCAATTACTCGCATCTCCGTGCCAGGGCTACCTCTCACACTATCGCAAACATGCACGTACTGTTCGTGCATCTGTCAACGCCCACTTCACCTCCGCAGACGGCTACACGGTGAAGGACGTGGTCATGTACTGGAAGGAGACGCCGGTGGTCGGCGTGGAGGAGGCCAAGCTGCCGCAGTTCACCATCATTGGCTACGAGACCAACGACCGCAAGGAGAAGCTGGCCACGGGCATCTACCAGCGCCTGTCGCTCTCCTTCCGGCTGCAGCGCAACATCGGCTACTTCGTCTTCCAGACCTACCTGCCCTCAATCCTGATCGTCATGCTTTCCTGGGTCTCCTTCTGGATCAACCACGAGGCCACCAGCGCGCGCGTGGCGCTTGGTGAGTAGATTTGGCCCGTCACCGCTGATAAATTCGGGGACGAATGGCCGACTTAGCGATGTCACATAGAGCCACACGACACTGAGTCACTCATAACCTGACATTCACTACTGACACTATGCTGAGAAGGTTCACGTCTTGATAGAAAGCTGGGATGTGATTGTGTTGCATCTTTCGGGGTTTGTCAATATGCAAGCTTACATGCTTGTTCCATTACATAGGTGATATAGCGAGAAGTAACAGCATGTTGGCTGCTCTTAAATGAAACACTTTGTAAGTCTTTAATAGAGAGCAGTCTTCTGTTGGCTTACATCGCGTTATGCCTGTGGGGCGGCCGACGATACTCCGTGACGTGTGATCAATGGTTGGGAATTCGACTGCACTACCTCTCTTAACATGTACCCCAGACAAAACCACTAAGTCACCAATAACAGGTTTTACGTGTCTCCCAAACCGCATCCGTCGCTAGTACGGCACTGATTAAAGCAATGAAAGTCGTCCTGCGTCTCGTGGGCTTCACGTGTGGCAGGCATCATCAAACCCTGTCTCCTGCTCCTCCCCACCGTGTGTCTGGCAGGCACCACCAGACCCTGACATTCCCTCTGTCTGACAGGCACCGCCAGACCCCGACATTCTCTTTGCCTGACAGGCACCTCCAGACCCTGACATTCCCTCTGTCTGGCAGGCACCGCCAGACCCTGACATCCTCTTTGTCTGGCAAGCACCACCAGACCCTGACATTCCCTCTGTCTGGCAGGCACCACCCGACCCTGGCATTCCCTCTGTCTGGCAGGCACCGCCAGACCCTGACATTCTCTCTGTCTGGCAGGCACCGCCAGACCCTGGCATTCTCTCTGTCTGGCAGGCACCGCCAGACCCTGGCATTCCCTCTGTCTGGCAGGCACCTCCAGACCCTGACATTCTCTCTGTCTGGCAGGCACCGCCAGACCCTGGCATTCTCTCTGTCTGGCAGGCACCGCCAGACCCTGACATTTCCTTTGTCTGGCAGGCACCGCCAGACCCTGACATTCTGTCTGGCAGGCACCGCCAGACCCTGACATCTCCTCTGTCTGGCAGGCATCACCACGGTGCTCACCATGACCACCATCAGCACGGGCGTACGCTCCTCCCTGCCGCGCATCTCCTACGTCAAGGCCATAGACATCTACCTGGTCATGTGTTTCGTGTTCGTGTTCGCCGCGCTGCTTGAGTACGCTGCTGTCAACTACACCTACTGGGGCGCGCGCGCCAAGAAGAAGGACAAGCGACGGCGAGAGAACGGCACCGCGCCGGCCGCGCAGGCCGTCAAGGTCGACGGGCTCAGCAACGAGGAGATCATCGAGCTGCAGGACATACGCGTCTCACCCATCCCGTCCATCCGCAATCGACGCACGGGCCGCTACTGCACCGCCGACGGCGCCGACATGAAGTTTCCGCCGAGCTTCCGCATGTCGCGGGGGTACGCGACGGGCGGCCGCGGCCGACCGGCGCAGCGGCGGCGCGTGCTCACGACCATCCGGCGCGGCGCGTCCGTGTTCTCGCGCTCGTTTCCGCGCATCAAGGACGTCAACATCATCGACAAGTACTCGCGCGTCGTCTTTCCCGTATCGTTTGTGCTGTTCAACACCGTCTACTGGTGCTTCTACGTGCTATAGCCGGCCGGCGGGCCGACGGGGCGCCGCTGAGGAGGCGCGCGCTCGCTGTGGCGAAGTCAGACCGGTAGAGTGTCGCGGGCCGTTCGGACGTGCGAGAGAGGGTGTGATATTTTAATGGTCGTGTGCTGCGAGTCTCTGGCCAAGCGGAGAACGCCGCCTGGCCAGCTGCTGCCTGCTGCGCGTGACGTCACAGTGGGAGCTTTGAAGCCGTGCTGAGGGAACAGGTCGGCGAGCGTTGGGGGCTCCGAGCTTTGACAATCCAAGGACCATGGGGCGGCTTCAAGCTAGAGCGCCGTGTAAGCACGTCACTGTGAGCTAAGCGAGTGTCGCCTGTCGGATCCTAACAGCATAGCCAGCAATTGGACGGGCATTCATGGTCGCTGCAGCGGACGCAAACTCTCTGCAGGCGAGAGGGCTTACTGTGGCGACGTGGACGTTCGCCATTCCGAACACGAGCTTGAGCAGCCTGCTTGCCACTGCATGAAATGCGCCCGGGGAGACCACTGCTTGTCGCCCTTCCGCCGCCACCGCGCCTTCAGGGCTGGCCACCGGCCCGGCTCGTGGTCCGGTGCACCCGTCTCCGCGACTCGGGAGCGGCTGGTGCGGGCGGACGCAGGGTGATCGCTCAGCGCTCACGGCAACTCGCGACAGCCGCACATTGGCCTCTCATTGGTCGGTGTGGATGGTTTGTCGAACAGGGGGTGCCGACACGGCGTTAACGCTGGTACAACGGGGTGCGTGGATAGCTTGATCAAAAGTGCAAACGTTGCTTTTGTTATCGGGATCGCTGGGCCTCGGACCGGATCTGAGTGCCGTCGACGGACAGGGGGCTTGCTGGGACGGAGCGCTCCTGGCCGCTTTGGTTGTTTTGTAATCTACCAAGCGCCTGCGTGTCGTGGCCGGCAGATTTCGCCGAATCGGCTCGGTTGTTGCGAGCCCGCACGGCTCGGGTATAATCTAGTGCATTTCATCTTTGAAAGGCAGAATGCTTACTGACTTGCATAGATATTGGGGTTCGGTGGCGAGAGATGGATATCTTCCATGTGAATCATGGAGTATTTGCTCTGTTGTCGTAGCTCCCGTCGTTAGCAGCACAGACGACTTGAGTTCAACCTGGAGCTTGTGTTGTCATGATTTGCTCGCTTCATTTGTACTTGTCACTTGTTCACATGATCCCAGTTTGCCTTTCTCAACATCTTGCTTGTGTTTTTTTTTCGTTGTAGAGAAATAGATATAACTGCCCTGTGTTAATATTTTAGCCATGCATTAAGCAGGGACAGCGCCACCAACTGGGACAACAAGTAATCCCAACTATCTTAAACTTCTACGTTACGCTTGTGGCGTGGTATGCAAAGAACGAGCCCCGTACTTGCTCCGTCCTCTGAATCTCAGGGAGCACGGGGGCAACTGGCGACATTACGGCGCAGTACAGTACAGCACAGCACAATACAGCACAGGCACAGGGATGACTGGCGACATTACGGCGCAGTACAGTACAGTACAGACACAGGGATGACTGGCGACATTACGGCGCAGTACAGTACAGTACAGTATAGCACAGGCACAGGGATGACTGGCGACATTACGGCGTAGGACAGTACAGTGCAGGCACAGGGATGACTGGCGACACTGCGGCGCAGTACAGTACAGTACAGCACAGGCACAGGGATGACTGGCGACATTATGGCGCAGAACAGTACGGTACAGGCACAGGGATGACTGGCGACACTGCGGCGCAGTACAGCACAATACAGCAGAGGCACAGGGATGATTGGTGACATTACGGCGCAGTACAGTACAGTACAGTATAGCACAATACAGCACAGGCACAGGGATGACTGGCGACATTATGGCGCAGAACAGTACGGTACAGGCACAGGGATGACTGGCGACACTGCGGCGCAGTACAGCACAATACAGCAGAGGCACAGGGATGATTGGCGACATTACGGCGCAGTACAGTACAGTACAGCACAGGCACAGGATGACTGGCGACACCGCGGCGCAGTGCAGTCTTCTGAAACTCCGATGGTACAGCGCCAGTGACGCCACCCTTGGCATTTCCTCTGTCCTCTGAATCTCCGGTGGTACAACACCAGTGACGCCACTCCTGGCATTGGCATGAAGCGAAATACTAGGGATGTGCCCTGTGCACAGCGAATAGACGCAAAGGGGAGAACTGCTCATTTTAGTACGCTCACTAATATGGAGTTAAATATTGGTTAGGAGTATATGTCCAGGATTCCGTCTTGTCAACCACCAAGTTTTCACTTAATTCGCCCAGCTTGTCAATTTCTTCAAAAATCCCAGGTCGCATCCGATCCAATCCAACCTGTGCAGATATTCCCCTAATCACCTGCGTGAAATCACCATGCTCTAATCCATGGCCCACGTCCACCCTTCCTTCTCATTCAACGCTGCACCAGAATCCCCGCAACTCTGGTCTCTCTGTGACAACTTGCGTACAACCGCCATAAGCGGACTGAAGAGTCCCTTGGCGCGGACCACGCACCCGAGCTCCGCGCACAGCCCAAAGCAGGTTCCCTGTGCGGGGTAAGGAGCGGTAGTGGCAGTCTCCCAGATGGCAGCATAGTCCCACCACCCACCTCTTGCCTTGATAATTTGACCTTGAAAAGGTGATTTCTTGCCGGAAAGCCTCTTCTCCCGACCAAACCAAGGAAGTCCAGTCCAACATAAAATATTAAACACGACACAATCGAAGTCACAAGATGGGCACAACAGCACAATTCTCAACCTGACATTTGGTTCTTCAATCTCGTCAAATTCATTTTGATCCGTGAACTATAATTGCAGCGTATCATAAACGTCATTTCGAATTCTCCACAAGTTATTACTGGTCTGTTCTTTATGAACCATTTCATAATCAGCAGCTGCTTCGGTCCGATAAGAACTATTCGTTACTTGTCTTCAATGGTGGGACACGGAGCCACGCAATCGCTTCTTCACGATATTTAAGCGCTGATGACTGTCGAAAGTAAATAGAACGAACATATTCGAAAGAATCTCAACATTGGCAAGCTGACTTTATTTTATATGACTGATCCTAGCAAGACGCCTGGGATGTTGAGAGGGAAGAAAGGTGGCCACTGCGCTTCTAACTGGCAGCACCTCTTTAGAATTGATTCCGACTTTGGCGTACGGCTTGTGGGGTCGGTTTCAACTCTGTGTCCAAGCACTCGCAAGGAAGTGAGCTTCGATTCCAACTCAGGTAAGTGCGGCTAAATTTCGTAATTGCTTCCGATGGAATTGACTGTAGTGAATGCAGCGTAGAAAGTAATACGTTTCACCAACTACACAAACCTGCACATGCCATATACTTCCAAACTAAAATGCAAAGTAAGATTATGTTCTTCCGGTTGTTTTTCATATACGCTATCGAGATAAGAAATAGTTTATTACCAGTGTATATCCTTGAGACCACCCGTCGAATGTCAGTAAATACAACCAGCTCCATACAGCTTCCGACTCACTTACATTTATATGCAAAAACCTACTCATCTTGACCTGACAAAAAACATGGTTGGTTCCAGAGTCGATTCCGAATTCACCCCGAGTCAAGCATAGGGTAAGTGATAACTAGTGTTTTATAAAGTAACGTAGATGATACCGAAACCTAGGCGAATAGAGCTGCGCGACTATAGGAACGTGCAAATGAAACATAGCGATGGAGTATCCTGTGACGTGTTTTTTCGTAGGTGAAGAGGTTTACAGGGCATTGATTCGCGCGCTTAGTCACATAACAACTTGTAAATTGGCTGGCAGGGGATAAGGAGGCAAAGGATCCAGATCGAAATCAATGGAAGCTATCATTTTTAAATCGGTGAGTAGGCGAACATAATGCTGGTATAAATCTACTATTATACTGAGGGAGCAGTGTGTGTGTGTGTGTGTGTGTGTGTGTGTGTGTGTGTGTGTGTGTGTGTGTGTGTGTGTGTGTGTGTGTGTGTGTATGTGTGTGTGTGTGTGTGTGTGTGTGTGTGTGTGTGTGTGTGTGTGTGTGTGTGCCCGCCACTCCATTGGGATCACCTGCAAGCTAAGCGGCAAGGAATTTTTTAATGAAATTTTCACAGGACCAAGGCCTGCTGGCATAGCCCGCCTTAGTCACGTCAAAATTCTGCATATCGCAAAAATGAGTGCGTGGTGAGCAAAAAAGGGTGCAGAAATCCCCGTAGGTTTAACAAGGACGGCGCCAATTTCGCGACGACCGGCCAACGGCCCCACACGCTCCGCCTCCCGCAGCCATATCTCGATAACCAAGGGTCGCAGTGGCATAAAACTTGCACATCCAGATAGACAATTGCATGGGCCATCGGACTGGTATAAGTTTAAGGCGCCACGTGGTCCGTGAAACGTGGTCCATGCACACCTATTGATAAGGTGGAATTGACCGTTTTTTTGACGTTTTGGGTTATAGTTCGGCACGCAGTGCAGGTAGAAGGGATAATTTTTTCCAAACATTCACAATTGAAGCGGCTACACTTTCAGTGCGTTTCGCGGGTTTGTACGGCGACTGTTGCGCTGCAAATGTAATGTAAGATGCAAACGACCAAGTTTAAAAATCGGCGCCGAATACAAACCGCTACCGTAAAAATATTCGTGATTTAGTGTTGGCCGATTCTTTCTCTCTCTAAACCACCCTTTTGTTGATCCTATTTTCACAACGGTTTGCCCCAAAATGAGCCTAGACTGATGAAGTGCATGGCGGCTGTTTACGCCGCGACGGAACGGCGCCCTCCGGTGTCTCGGTCGACGCCGGCGGTTGCCTCAGGGGATGTCTGATCCTGTGGCCTGATCCTATGACCTGATCCTATGGCCTCTGACGTCTGATCCTCTGATCCTATGGCCTGATCCTATGGCCTCTGACGTCTGATCCTCTGATCCTGTGGCCTGATCCTCTGGCCTCTGACGTCTGATCCTCTGATCCTGTGGCCTGATCCTATGGCCTCTGACGTCTGATCCTCTGATCCTGTGGCCTGATCCTATGGCCTCTGACGTCTGATCCTCTGATCCTATGGCCTGATCCTATGGCCTCTGACGTCTGATCCTCTGATCCTGTGGCCTGATCCTATGGCCTCTGACGTCTGATCCTCTGATCCTATGGCAGCCGCCAGAGGCCGCCAGCACCGCGCCGCCTGTGGCCAAGTCTCTTTCACGTTTTGCGCCATATCTCGGCCCCTGGACCAGCTATAGGCGTAAATCCAGCTACAACAGATGGACAATAAGATTCCTACAGTGTTTTCATTAGTGCAGCGAAGCGAGCGTGCAGACACTTGTAAGAAAAACTGAAGCATCAATTTTACTGCTCAGCTGCCTTCCCCCACCCAAAAAAAAATTCCTTTTCAAAACTACTTCCCTGGTCCGATGAGAAAGACGTGCTGGCTATAGATGATACCTGCGTGTGCGTCGATCCTATAAAACACCACAACGTTTCCCCTATGGGTCGCCTCAGCTTGTTACCCACATACAGCAGAAGCAGACTGCAAACTTTAGAAGGTTCGGAGTGCAGGCAAGTAATCATTATCAGCAAGGAATCCGACTAAAAACCTGTCGTTGTAATTGTTTTTGCATTCTGTTATGTGTATTGTATCTATTTCATGGCTGAAATTATATTCTGAAGTGAAGATGCCGCACCAAAAATATGCATATAAAAATAACGTATTGCAAAGAAAGTCGGATCTCAAGTAAAAAACGATGCTAGGCTCGTAGCCTTCCATGGGTAGCAAACACAATTGCGGTTGGCATAAAAGTTTCCACAAGGCCAGTGAATTGATGACGTCAGCAGCATGTTTAGTTTGCGGGAATCAGCTTCTGGGGTCATGTTTGACCGGCAAAAAAGCCCTCATATATGAAAGGGTTTGACCACCACTACGTTAAGTAACTCATCGTTTAAGGAAATAAGTCGAGGATGCGGGCACCGAACTGCCCCGTTGCATCCTCCATGCCGGCGCCACCACGCAGCAAGACAAAACAAAAGTAACCTGCGTGATAGACATATTTTACCTACGCATTAGTCATTCTGCAGAACTCCAGCAAAACACATTGGAGAGGGCCAAGCCTATATTGGGGGGGGGGCAGCGCATTATTGGGGGCAGAGGGAGGCCGGAGCCCTCCCAAAAGAGTACAAATCGACACCCGTGGCATCCACAGCGCTGCGTTCGTGCGATTACACAATGGCTTTCCTTATCAGGGCGATGGGCGGCGTCCGGTGCATGTTCACGGCCACCAGGCTGATAACCGGCTTCAGAACGCCTCTGGTCCTGGCTCCAACATTCAACGAAGAGACGGCCTCCGCGCCGCTGCTCACCCCGCCGGCAGCGAACCACGCCACGGCTTCAGGTGAGCGGCCACGTTCATCAGCGTCGCGTTGTCTGCTCTGGGCATGTTAGCGCGTCAAGCGTTTGGCCGATACAGAGTTCAATGACCGGCGCTGTTGCTTATCCCCCACTTCTGCAGCCTGATCTCTTCATACGTCCGTTTCGAACAGCTCCCACTCCGGCTGAGGTCTCTGCTCAGTCTCGCTTCTGTCGGAAGCATGGTTTTTTGCTGGTGTCGCCTACGCCTTCCGTGTAGCACACTAGAATGGGGGAATCGTGGATTGTTCTGTTTCAGTGTCGGGTAGGATCTACATACCTGCACATGAGATCAACTCCCTCAGCAATGTCGTGATGAGGGCATTGCATGAAATTTCAGATACGTTCAACCTTGAAGAATGTAAAGTTGGTGATGACAGTAGAGTTTTCTGTCTTTGCCAAGTGCATTAAGTGTAACGTAATATATTCCGTAATGTTTCATATTCCACATTGCTACATAACCACCCAGATATCGCAGTTACTTCTTTCCCAAGTTGCATATCGCGAATTTATATTTGCATGCGCATCTAGACGTTCGCAAGCACGCATGACGTGGATAACTTTAACTCTCATCCTGTTTCGCCTTTTCATAACGTGGACTAATAGAGGGGGTCGATGCGACCCCCTGTGCCGTTCCAAACTAACGACGATGGAGCCTCGCAGCAGAAACGAGCAGATTGGTCTCAACGGAGTCTCACGATCGATAATACATGCTATGATCCTGGGTCAATAATCTACGCCATTATGCTAGGTCAAATGACTTTTATCCCAAAATGTCATTTTTCCGATTTGCATGCCCATATTTACGAAATCGTGCCATGCAAGCGCGGCTCAATTCCGTAATTACATCCGATACAGTTCATTGCAGCGAATGTAGTGTGGGAGGTAGCATGTTTCATCAACTGCATAAACCTGCACATGCCATGTATTTCCAAACTAAGAGGCAAAACACGCTTCGGTTCTTCTGATTGTTGTTCATATGAGCTATCGAGGTAAGAAGTGGTTGTAACGCAGATGATACCAAAACGTAGGCGAATAGAGTTGCACGGCTCTGGGACGGTTCAAATCAAACTTTGCAGTGGAATATCTTTTGACGTGTTTTTTTCGTAGACGAAGAAGTTTAAAGGGCATAAGATTTGCTCGCTTAGTCACACAAAAAATATTGCAAACTGGTTGGCAGGGGATTTGCAGGCAGAAGATTCAGATCGAAATCAATACAAGTTATCGCGCTGAAATCGTTGCGTAGGCCAAATAGATGCTGGTATGAATGAGAAAGCATTAAGTGTCATTTTTACCGCTCAGTTCCCCTCCCCACCGAAAAGGAAGCTACTTTTTCCTTTTCCAAAACTACACCCCTGGTCGAGAGAGAAAGATACACCGGCTACAAGTTATACCGGCGTGTGCGTCGATCTTACGAGCACCACAGCGTTTCCCCAATGGGGTCGCTTCAGCAGCGAAGCAGCGTGATGCCATTCAGTTATGCTGATGATTGTGATGATAATTTTGGTATTAAGGCGTGCCGGCTGCTTGGTCATATGCCATTTCTTTCAGACAAAGTACTTTTGTGCAAACGGCAGCACAATTGGGGCTCGCAAATATTAAAATGTATATTTTAGTTATGTCTTCAAGGTGAAGCAGTGGCCCTACCCGGTGGCATTATAAGATGTAGCTAATCCTGAGAATAGGGGAATTGAGGCCAGGATTACGACTAACTCCATTAAACTTGGGTCAGTATGAAGGTGAGACCGAAAGTGAACCCAAACTGTTTTTTCACTGAAGGACGTGCCGTAAGCGGTGTTTTTTTATGCTCTTTTCCAATTTCTCAATTACAGGGACGTCAACAGACATCATATCTAGACTTCTCGCAGGTCACAGGAGGTCACTGATCTAAAATGACCCATATCAATCATTGATTCCCGACCGTTGTGAACTGAAATGAACACCAGTGAGATTGCCCTTAGAACAGGTATTTAGGGGTTAGAGCGGTTGCATAAGCAGGCCTGGAGGTACTTGGGATACCGATCTGAAGTTTGACCTTATTTAGTACAGTGGTCAACAGGTACTTCGACCCGGTCCATCTGAAAATTGGATACAAGTCAGTTCATACAGAATCATTTCTACCTTGTAAATTAAGTGTTTTTGTTCTCTTGCTTTTTATCTCAGGGGTCAAACTGTCCCCTTCCCCCCCCCCCGCTACTGAACGCGTCACAACCGAACGGCCATAAGTGCGCGTGTTAAATTGTTGTGCGTCTGAGGCTTGCGTAAATGTTCGTGAAATGGACGTATGACATATGTTGCAAGCCATTTTAATTCCACGGCGGCCAGCTCTCCCTCAGCATTACGAAAAAGGAACAGATCATCCTACAAAGTAAGTTTCGCTTTAATGTGTACGATTGCACATTTTCAAATGATTACATTTTTGCTGTGCACAGCGATACATTTGTCTTTCGCAATCTGACAGTTTCGCTTTAACCGAAATTTTTGAATTCCATGGAAATTGTAATAGAATACAGCCAAAAATGCTGTATATAATGATCACAGGATTCCAGATGAAACTCGAACTGTCTTGTATTTTTGTCGCAAGACTGTATGGCAAGTGTAGCTGTAAAGATGGATAACAACAAAACCAAAAATGTTATTAACAGTGGCATACAGCATCCGAGTTCCACCGTTCATGGCTCAATTCTAGGTCACAGGTGATATATTTGGGAAAAAGGTTGGTGATGTGGCAGCTAACAGGCTTTGCCTTTCTACGAACCAACTGGCTGCAACGCGCAAAATGCTCGCAAAAATCACTATATTGGCGCGAATACACACCATTCGACATTGCCGAAGCCTAACTTTGTTGGAGCTGAGATCAATTGAAGTTATGCTGACCACGTTCATGATGTGGCGAAGCGTATGGTGGAGGGTTCGCCTTGCAGGACGAACGTTCTTGTATGGCTCGCCGAAGAGTGCCATTTGGCTGCTGACTTGGCAGCGTCAGCCTGATCACAGGGCGCCGAGAGTCATGTAAGTGCATGGCACGGTAAAGGTGCTTTTGTGCTATTTCGATAAGGGCCCGAGGCAAAATGGATCCTTATACTTTGTTACCATAATGAGAGGTTGGTTCGGAATGCAGGCAAGTAATTATTCTCAGCAAGGAATCCGATCAAAACCTGTCCTTGCAAAATTATTGTTTTTTGTTATGTGTCCTACACCCATTTCACAACTGAAACTATTCTCTGAAGTGACGATGCCGCACCAAAAATAGCATTCTGTTGCCCCATTGTGTTTTCTCGTAAAGCTATGTAGTAAAGAAAGTCGGATTTCAAGTAAAAAAAAACAATGCTAGGTTCGTAGTCTTTCATGAGTAGCAGACAGCATGACGCTTGGCATAAGTCTCCACGAGACCCGGAAATCAGCGGCGTCAGTATTATGTTTAGTTTGCGGGAATAAGCGTCTAGAGCAGTGCTTGACAGGAAAAACACGTCATATACAAAGGGTTTGACCACCACTATTTTAAGTTACACATCATTTAAGGAAATAAGTCGAGGATGTGGGCATCAAACTGCCTCGTTGCATCCTCCATGCCGACGCCATTACGCAGTAAGACAAAAAAGTATTTGTCTGATAGTCATCGTTTACCTAGTCATTTTGTCATTCATCACTAGTTATTTGGCAACATTCCAGCCAAAAATATTGTGGAGGCCCAGTCAATATTGGGGGGCAACTCAACATGGGGGAGGGAGGCCGGAGCCCTCCCAAAAGAGTACAAATCGACACCCGTGGCATCCACAGCGCTGCGTTCGTGCGATTACACAATGACATTTCCTATCAGGGCGATGGGCGGCGTCCGGTGCATGTTCACGGCCACCAGGCTGATAACCGGCTTCAGAACGCCTCTGGTCCTGGCTCCAACATTCAACAAAAGGACGGCCTCCGCGCCGCTGCTCACCCCGCCGGCAGCGAACCACGCAACGGCTTCAGGTGAGCGGCCACGTTCATCAGCGTCGCGTTGTCTGCTCTGAGCATGTTAGCGCGTCAAGCGTTTGGCCGATACAGAGCTCAATGACCGGCGCTGTTGCTTATCCCCCACTTCTGCAGCCTGATCTCTTCATACGTCCGTTTCGAACAGCTCCCACTCCGGTTGAGGTCTCTGCTCAGTCTCGCTTCTGTCGGAAGCATGGTTTTTTGCTGGTGTTGCCTACGCCTTCCGTGTCGCACACTAGAATGGGGGAATCGTGGATTGTTCTGTTTCAGTGTCGGGTAGGATCTACATACCTGCACATGAGATCAACTCCCTCAGCAATGTCGTGATGAGGGCATTGCATGAAATTTAAGCTACGTTCAACCTTGAAGAATGTGAAGTCGGTGATGACAGTAGAGTTTTCTGCCTTTGCCAAGTGCATTAAGTGTAACGTAATATATTCCGTAATGTTTCATATTCCACATTGCTACATAACCACCCAGATATCGCAGTTACTTCTTTCCCAAGCTGCATATCGCGAATTGATATTTGCATGCGCATCTAGACGTTTTCCAGCACGCATAACGTGGATAACTTTAACTCTCATCCTGTTTCGCCTTTTTCATAACGCGGGCTAATAGAGGGGGTCGATGCGACGCCCTGTGCCGTTCAAAAACTAACGACGATGGAGCCTCGCAGCAGAAACGACCAGACTGGTCTCAACGGAGTCTCACGATTGATAACACATACTATGATCCTGGGTCAATAAATTATGCCGTTACTTTAGGTCAGAGGACATTTATCCCGAAAATGACGTTTTTCAGATTTACATACCCATATTTATGAACCCATGCCACGGAAGGAGGAGGGGGCATGGAACGTACACAGGCCAGTTCTTTGTTTAATTCTGAGCACATTGACATCTAGTTAGATAAGCTTTGAGGCAAATATTATATTGGCATTATTTTATTAATTATTTTAATTATATATTGGCATTCATTTTTACGTACCCTATTCGTCAAAGTATATATACTTTTCATGACGCATACATGGCCGGCCGATGGGCCGCCTAAAGTGTCGTCCCGCCGCGCGTGATTGCTGGATTCATCGGTTACTAGCCGCCGTCCGCGCCAGCCGGGCATCGCCGTGCAGTATTCCGAAAAGACTGTCACAGCTCCGAAATCATAAATACCTGACACACGTTCTAGTGTCGAAGCACACGTAGTCAATGCCCCACTGGCTACGGAAAATTTGGGCGCAATTACATGACACGTGGGAGGGAATCTCCAGAAAATCCCAGTGGAGTTGCATCTTCCCCCCCCCCCCTCCCACCCCTGTGAGGACGAGGGCGATGTACCACTTGTACTGACCATCGTCACATGTATTTATACCCTGTACCACTTGTGCCTGTACTTGTGCTGCTTGCACCTATCACTATTTGTGCTGACCTTGACATCTTGATTTTTAAAATTTTGGTGCCGTCCAGCACAAAACACACCAGAGCGTGTTTTCCGCTTTCCCTTTGACACTATCTCAGTGCCAGTGATGACGCATTGGTGGCACGTAATTATACGTCATGATACCCGCTTGAGCACGTCAAGACGATTTCTCCACAACCCAGAGGTGGGCGGGTATTCATCGATGTGACATTCAACAGGTCATCTGATGCTGCAATCATCGCATTGGTAACAGCTCGGCAGGTCAGTTGGTGTTGACCATCCTGAAATCACCTGTGTCAGCTGCTCGTTTTGTAATACGCGGAGCGGGGGAGCGTCCTTCACCAACGCAAGCTGCTTTGTTCGTTGACAGGGGGCCCGGCTGACTCAGCTGTGTCCCAGATCACCTATGGCCCGGTGGAGGAAGCAAGACAAGATGAGATCGTAGACATCTTTGTACAACACTTCTTTCCGGATGAAACTTTGTAAGTGATGTCACTGTCAAGTCCTCAATATGACCAAAATGTTGATAATGTAATAATTCCAGATAATTCCGTCTGTTTACATTGTTGCGATGAGTTAATGCAATGCATGCTGCTGAAAGCGCTGGTATACGTTTAGAATTGAAACAAAAAATTGGTCTTTAGACGTTATGCCTACCCGTAATTCCTAGTAAGGCTACAATGCTTTGGAAAATGGTTAAAGGCAAATATAAGATGCTTGAATATTGCTTGCAAATTGCATGCTGATTTATAGACCATTTTCTCGATCAATCAACTTGCCTTTTTAAATGTTATTAGCTTCCTAAACGTTCCCTGACCATAATATTTAGTGTGACTGGTTCATCAACACTGCACCTGGATTCAGAGTGTTATTTTGCATACGTAGTTACAATATGTCCCCATAAATAAATGGTAGTACCTTGATATCTGGAGTAGTCACCCATGCTAGAGCGTAGACAATTCTGGTTATCCGGACGAACGTCCACTTTGTCAGGTATGCTTCCGTGGGAACGAACCAAAGCCATGGCACCTGTATGCTATCTCGATGTGTAAATCATCACTGCAGAACTTAACTGGGCTGAGATTTTGATTGTCTCAAGCAGTTACCCTTCTACGAGAGAAATTTTGCAATAGCCGTACTCTATCTGTTTTTTTTTTAATGAGTTTCGCCTACAAACTATCCGTGGTTCACCCAAGCTGCCGTTTTCGTTGTGAACTTTTGAAGATGCTAGGTCAGAATGCACTGATTTTGCTTCGATATGTGCAGAAGCTCAATTATCGATATTTTGCGGCAGTTCCGAAGGTATCAAATGATAACTCCTGAATAGCTTCCAAACGCACCTGCTTTGTTTTCATAAGCAACAGGGCTGAAAGACACTGAAAACTAATTTCCGAAGGGCACCACTACCGCAGCCCACACATTGCGTCCCATGCTGGTGATTAGGCTATTTCCATCCACATGATTTCGAAGTGACATCCACGACAGTATTCGAGACGACTTTAGGCTACCGTTGCGTGTGTTCCAGCGACACCCTCCGTATTTGGACGCCTCTAGCGTAGGCCACTCGTCACAGACAGGTGCCAAACGTTACGCCACCAAGTACTGCACTTTTGATATTTATCCATCCCAAATGGCGTCTGTTCCGGGGCCGTCCGGGGCCTAGGTGCCCCTCGCCGGGCCATGTCCTTTCCACAACTTCCTCAGCCGAAAGTGGCCTTTGTGACGTCATTTGGAGCACGTTTGATACTTCACTTTTGATGGCTGGTGAAAACCAGCATGGAATTCAATCTATAAAGTAGAACCTTTGAATAATTAGGTGTACACATGACTTACATCGCCAAGCTTTTCCCGAAGGAGGTAAAGGAAAAGAAAGTTTGGAAAAAGCTGTATGTGATGTAGTATGGGGTATGGGGTATGGGGTATCTCGAAAAAGTACGTAGTATGTAACATCGCACATAAAGTGTGTGGTGCGGGTTGCGTAGTGTGTAGGTGCGGTCGTCTGCAACCCTTTCTAAACTTTTTCCTTCCTTCTGGGAAAGATCAGAACTTTGTGGGATACTATGTGCTGTGGATTGGAGCTTTGTGGGATACTATGTGCTGTGGGTCGGGGCTTTGTGGGATACTATGTGCTGTGGGTCGAAGCTTTGTGGTTTACTATGTGCTGTGGGTCGTAGCTTTGTGGGAGTGAACGTTTCTCATGTAAGCGCAAAGACAGATCGCTGCGACTTGTTTCGACGTCACGTAGCATACAACATGGCACGTCACATGTCACAGGTCACATGCAACACTTACACATAAATGTGCCACATCTGATGCTGGCTATGCCGAACCATTGCAGATCGAAACTGGGGCGCGCGTGCGATGGCGGAGAGCTGGAGAACCAACGCGCTTGGCTCAGACCGAGTCTAAGCGGCTGGGACTGGAGCGTCTGCCTGGTGGCTACGGACAGTGCCACCAGCCGCGTCGTCGGAGCGTCTCTCAACACCGTCATCACTCCGACGTCGGAGTCTTCTCTGGCCACCTGGGAGCGCCAGGACACGGAGGCCTATCAGTGGTTGGGCAAATTCTTCAGCCAGCTGAATGGTGGCTATGACATCTTCAAAGCACTGGACGTGGAGACTGTGCTGGAACGCATAATGGCCACAGTCGATAAGCGGTGAGAAATAACAGCGCTCCGCTTCTTACCTGTTGCCATACCTATACCCACGCTAATGACCACGCTAGGGGGTGTCACGGGCCGTCGGGTGCCAGCTTCTCTGAGCACAAGGTGAAAAACACAGCCTTCAAAGCCGCCTTTATTTCAGCGGAACGGAGTTGATAAAGCCACGTTGGCCTAATTCGTCGGCAAGGCTGAGTAGCATGCACGGTTTTGAATGGAGTGGTATTGAACTATGTGGAATGAAATTTCATATGGTTACTCGGACATAAACAATTATCAAATACAAAACTCAGAGTCAGTCCCTGAGAAAGAGCAGTGTCCTCAGCCCGCCATTTTTGCAAGAGTCTTAGTTCTACCAGTTTTAGCGACGTTATTTGCTCCAGAGTTTCAGCGGTCTTCTCTGCATGCGTGCGCTGAACATGGATACAAATACGCTTCTTATTCTGCATCATTATCCGTTAAAATTGGATATCTCAAACACTGACGTGGTCTTGGGCATGCCATAGTATATCACTGCCCTTGATGTCACATGTTGGATGCTGCACTTCACAATCAGACTAGTCAACATGTCCGTTGTTTTCCCTCGTCCGCTGCAGAACTCGCTTGGTTTATTTATTTTCTTTACCCAGTTTCATTTCGTCGCTGGGGGATAGCGATTCTCTCTTCGGGCGCAAAAACATTATTAAGCTGTCAACTGTGGTCTTTATGACGCCTCCAGTTGTCCAATGAAGTCGAAGAGCTCTCTTCTCAACATGATCTATGGAACTGTAGTCTCGCTTGCCTTCACCCTGATTTGACAGAAGACAGAAGTGTTCCTTGTTCAGTTATGAGTACAATGATATACATTTTGATTTTTTCCTTGCCCAATTATGAGTGCAATGATATACATTTTGATTTGTTACCACAGAGTTATGATACATTTATTTTTAAGTAACAATGTCGGCGCGCCGCACGCGTTCCGTGGCGTTGTCGGTTGCCACCAGCCGCCCACATCGCCTGTAGATCGCCGCGCAGTGTTCCTAAAAAAAAAAACGCCGCTGCTCCGGAACCAGAGAAGCTGGGGACACCTTTTTGGCGTCGAAGCACGCGCAATGGTTTAGCCATAGACCTCTTAATATTTGAGCGCGATTGAACATGCCGGAGAGCGGCGGGTCATTCTAAGAAAACCTCAGGGCGCGGTCGCATGGACCCCGTCCTATCAGGGTTAGGGTTAACTGTATTGGAATTCTGACTCTATGATTGCTTATCTACCTGCAGTTCAACGCGGTCGGTACTCTTGTGGGGCAGGGCCCGAAGAAGTGTCATATCCCTACCCGCGTTGTGCCACCAAGCTGACCAGGTTCACTGCTGCATAGCGCCTCCGCCCCCCGTCACCCGCATGCCACCGTGCCACGTAAGGCTCGACCCCGCCGCGCAGCGACGAGGACGTCCACCGCACCCGGAATAGCTGACACAGCCGCGGGGGCGAGAGCGTATGGTCGACTGCGGGTTAGCGCGGCGCACAACACGGAAGGAAGCTCTTACAAGAGCACGGTAATCGCCATACTATTCAATCATTGCATGCACGCACGAGAACTATCCACTGAGGAAATTGTACACCATAAACGTGGAGTAAACGTGAATGGCATGTAGGTGGAAGCAATGGCATGGTATGAGAGCGACGAGCAGCCGGAAGGTAAAATACCTCCTTCTACATTTGCGCTGGCTTTGTGAGGTTGTCTCAATCGACTCAAGATTCCAAGGCAATGACCATTCCCAAACTGGTCGATTTCGATCGATTTGGGATTCGATTCGAATCGATTTTACGAATTTCATCTCCGGCAGGTACCGCGGTCAGGGCATCGCATCGGAACTGTTCCGGCGCACAACCATGGAGCTGGCGCCGAAGGCCGGCTGCCAGGCGGCGGTCGTGGCGGCTTCTTCACCGTACACGCGGCAGGGGTTGAGCCGCCTCGGCTACACGGTGGTGAACACCCTGAGGTACCGAGACTCGGTGCTGGCCGCCTGCCCGAAGATCGACTGGAGCCAGTGCGAAGCCCATGACGGTGCCGCCCTGATGGTGCGAAGAATCGGATAATTCGGTGCGAGGCGCGCACGAGGTCGCCCGCCATGCTTAACGATCGTTGAGTTCTGCTCCGGCTTTCAGCTTCACTGCTGTTACATGCACCGCACCGCACGCATGCGGACCGTGCGTTCACCAGACTGGTGAATGCAATGGAAGCCTCTCATGCAGCAACTAAGTGGGAAAGAATGCAGGAACCAAGGCATACGGGATTCCCGCCAAAAACCGCGGGGCTAGGGCACCATCTCAGTGATAGCGCCAACAGATCGTCAAGGCGCGGTAGGTCGCAGACGAGCGAGGCACTGCGGTGACGAGGAGCCTTCACGGCTAACATTTCCTGCGCTTAATCAGCCCCCGCCCGTGGCGTCGTTGATCTGCTCCCCTGCCCCTTTGTCTAGGGACTCACCGCAGACCCGTGTCATCTGACGGAACAGCACTGCAGAAAAGAAGTCCTAGAACTCAGAAGCTGTCCAAGGACAATGGTTATCCCATGAGCATTATCGCACGATTAGCCAATAAAATACTACGGCACCGGAACGACACGAAACAGCCGCCCCGTATCTGGGGCTCCAAGGTCGGACCGCATGGACCAATCAGAATAGCTGGTGCGCTCTGCGCTGGAGCGACCTCCCTGTCCTGCTGAATAGCGGGCCTGGGGGCCCTGAGGGTCCTGCCTGTTTACTTTAAACATACGCTGACGCGCGGATCAGTCACCGAACTACTCGTATGGACCATAATCCGCCCCCTGCCCCCCCCCCCCCCCCGACGGCGCGCATGGCGGCAGGACAGCGGTACCTTACATACCGCGCTGCGTCTCCCATTAATGAGTCGCCTGTGGATGCTCAACGACTGAATTCGACAAGTTTCAAGCGCGCTGCCAGGTATTCTTAATGCGAAGGGCTGGTCTCATTCCGGTTAAGCGTGCATGCGTTTAAATATGATTATCCCTTATTACTTCCCGTTGTTTATTGACACACTGTTTTATGTCTCAGGCTAATGGCACGTAATAGCCACGAATGTATGTGGAGTGTCAGCTGATGTCAAATACAGATGCGAGCGCACGCCACCTATAAACCCGGACTGGAAAAATCGTCTTGCGACTAAGAACATCGTGTTCAGATGTAACGCGACCTTTGCCCACAGCCTGGCATTCCCCAGACTGTCCGCACAGCGTTCTGCGCAGATGTGAGGACGGGCTAACATGAAATTTCTCAGGGCTTCTTCACAATGCATCGCTCGCAGATAACCTCCCGTCAGCACCTCGCTAACAGCTGCGAAGCGTACATGCTGCTTTTTCAGCTGGCCAGTCACTGACCTGGTGCCGACCTGAATGCCAGTACTGGAAGGAGTTGGAGAGGGCTGTCCTACGTCTATAGTCTCGCCGGCTGCATATTGTGATTGCGTGTGTGCTATAGGCAGAATAATAAGTGGACAAACTACCATTACGCGCGCTAGTTATTTTCGATGACCAAATGTACGCTTACCAAATGTAGGAATGCATAAAATACCATTAAGTACGCACGTAACTCTTCATCACCAAATGTACGCGTACTAAGTGTAGGGATGCAAAAAATGTGGGGTAGGGTTCGTATGCTCGAATGATGTAGCAATAAAAAAATTGCGGGCAAGTTTGTTATAATTGTTTATATGGTATCAAGTGTGCATGGAATCGACGAAAGGTCGCCAAGACAGCAGTTTGTATGAAAGGGGGTTATGCACTAAGTACGTATCACAATTGTTCGTTAGCAAATGTGCGTACAGAAATGTTCATACAAGATAAAGTTTGTTTCAGAGTCTGCATGCAAACGTTCAGAAGCATTGATTGTGTAGCAAAAGCTTTTATGGATAATACTTAATCGTTGATACCCCAGTTTCCTTACCCAAGGTACCACATTACGTCCTGTTAGCTCTCAGATTTTGCTGAAAGCTCTCTGTTAAGGCCTGTTTCGCGACTTAAAGGTCTGTGCTTCGATTCCACCTATCGAATGTCTCTTTCTTACCAGCAAAGTGTTGGGTCACGGAAATACCAGTGCGCGCACCATTAACACATGTGCCGCTCATGGCCTTTCAAAAGTTATTTCCACTGTCATAGCCCAGCCCGTCCCCCCCCCCCAGGCTCGGATTTTATTTACTTAAACACGGTAGTTGACCTCTTAGGTTTTCTTATGACGAGTTCTCAATCAACTCAGGGGCCGCCCTCCTCGCTCAGGTTGTGAGCGGTAAAACCCTGTATGCGCACACCGTTTGGTCAGACAAATCGGCGTTCTCGGTGGCCCAGTATCAACGTCCATTGGGTCTGCAAGATACTGCGCTGCGCGGCATCTGTCACTCCTCCGTGCCTCAAACACGTGCCGAGACATGCCCGCGGGCCTGCATTATCACACGGCTCACAACAAAACACGGAGAAGCGGGGCGCGCTCGAGGCCAGCGGCCAGGCGGGCCAATCGAACGGCGCCGCCGAGCTAGCGGACGGGCCCGGCGCCGGACGGCCGGCACCCAGCGCAGCACCACACGGCTGTAGCACGGCTGGGCTACAGCACAACAGCGAGCGCCCGAGCGGACGCAGCGGCGCGCCGTCTCTGCTCTAGTGCTACACACGATAACGGAGCGCTAGGATGAGGCGCGGCGGCGGCCGCCGCTTAAAGTGCGTCCTGTCGCCGCCCGGCGGCACGAAGCGGAGAGCCCTGAGGCGGCAGGACACCGCGCAGTAAGCGGGGACGAGGCGTGGCGGAGCGGGGGCGGGGGCGGGGCCGGCGGCAGCGGGCACCCGGCCGCGGCGGCGGGCCCGGCACACTCTCGCGGATCCCCAGTCGCGCCGCTGACTAGAGGGGAGGCGACGGCGGCCGGCCCTCCGAGGAGGCCGCAGAGGACGAGCACGACACGCCCGGCCGTCAGCCGTCAAACGGGTACGCCGAGAAGTCGCTGCTTCCGTCGTTCAGGTCGCTGCTGGTCTCCCTGGGGCAAGGCCAAGCGCGCGATAAGTCGCTGGTGCTCTTGCGCTCGAGATAATACGGCGCGCCATACTGGGCACCCGCAAGGTAACGACTCCATAAATCGTCTTGTTCCACTGCAACACAACATAGCATTCTAGCGCCGCCGAGGCAACGACTCAATGCAGCCCTGCAGCACGTCACCCAGGGAGCGCAGCTAACACGAGATCGCATGACCCATGTGGCACCCCACGTTGCAACAGGCCACCTTGACGCGGTCACGTTTCGCCTCTGCCGTTTTCACGTGACACAAATGCAAGCACGAACATTTTAAAGGTACATGAATGGCGCGTCGCCACCGATCGGCGTGAGAACCACGGCATGCGTGCGGGATCAGCTCGGCCTCACACTACACCTTTTACTCAGCAGCAGCACGCTATCGCCACCGATGGAGGTCCGGCGCGGTCCAAGTTCCAGGCCCACGCGGTCGAGCAAACAGACCTCGGGAAGACGGCTCAAGTGGGCGGCTCACGAGCTCGACAAAACAAATACGAGCCGCTGCAGGGGCTAGGGTCTTGATAGCGCGCCCTCGCCTCGCGTTGCGGCGGCCGGTCCCCAGGAGGGGAGCGGGGAGGGCAGGCGAGGTCCAAGTGCGGGCCTCACGTGGTGGCGTCGTCCTCCTCGGCCTGATGGGCTGTCATGGCCACTCGGGCATAGTCGTCCGTGTCAATGGACTTGCAGAAGTGGATGGCGTAGAGCAGCTTTTCCCGCAGCACAGCCTGCAGCAGCGGGACACTGCGTCACCGACGCCCGCTACCTCACACGACAGAACCGGCCGGTCCCCTACACGGGCCCGTGTCAAGGGAACGAATATAAACAGCACAGCATTTACTTGGAGATAGCATTGTTTTATAGTGTCTCACAGCTTCCTACCATAGCTTTATCATAGCTATAAGTGATAACTACAGCTATACAGGTATAAACAACAGCGCCAGAGACCTCCACATTCCATTCCGAATGACGAAGAAACGACCCAGCACGCCTGGGAACACATGACATATCGGATGCTCGTATCGCACACTGCCAAACACCGCCCCCCTCCCCCCAGCCTCCACGAGCAGGCCCACCTTGCACGAGTAGCGCGGCATCTTGAGCAAGAAGAAGCAGGTATAGCTCTCTGGCAGGAAGTGGTCGGCCGGCTGGTACTTGTCGAGCACCTGCAGCACGAAGTCGCGGCCGCGGAAGTCGGCAATGGTGCGTGGCAGCCGCGTGCGGCCCCACACGAAGCGCAGGAACAGCGAGCGCTCGAGGGTGCTCAGCTCCTGCATCACCTCCCAGAACCAGGCGACCAGCGGCGAGCAGGCGTCCACACCTGGCGAGCAGGTCAGGTCACGTCAGGCCATGTAAGGTCAGGTTAGGTCAGGCCACGCAAGGTCAGGTCAGGTCAGGTTAACCTAGGGCGGGGCTAGAACGGCCAGCAGGTGTCCCCATAACAGACACGTAAGGTCATCGATAGGGGGAATAGGGAGACGCCGATAGGGAGACGCCAATGTCCTACTCTGCTGGACCGAAGGACACAAAAAGCAGGGGCGGACTACCAACTCAACTTACCCCATACAGCGAAGTGCAAAGACATTAAATCGAACCGGATAGATCGGATCAATACAAGCGGGGAATCTCAAATCAACACCTATAGCCTGCAGTCACTACGCCCCTTCATCCCAGACAGGTCTCCACCTACCCAGTCCCCCACCCTAACCCCGGCCGTCCGACCCGCTACCTTTGTAGGTGGCGACGGCCATCAGCAGCTTGATGGGGATGTCCGGCGATCCGCACACCATGGTCTCGAGCTCCGCGCCGCTGAACAGCTCCAGCAGCGGCACCGGCACCACCCGGCTCATGCCCTCGCGCACGGCCGCCACCATCGGGTCGAGCTCGTGCAGTCTGGCGGCGGCGAGCGCGTGGCTGACGGCGCCGCTCAGAGGCCGGCTAACGGCACGACGGCGGCCCGCAGACACACGGCGGCACGCAGACACACGGCGGCACGCAGACACGCGGCGGCACGCAGACACGCGGCGGCACGCAGACACGCGGCGGCATGCAGACACACGGCGGCACGCAGACACACGGCGGCCCGCAGACACACGGCGGCCCGCAGACACACGGCGGCACGCAGACACACGGCAGCATGCAGACACACGGCGGCACGCAGACACACGGCGGCACGCAGACACACGGCGGCACGCAGACACACGGCGGCACGCAGACACACGGCAGCACGCAGACACACGGCAGCACGCAGACACACGGCGGCCCGCAGACACTCGGCGGCACGCAGACACACGGCGGCCCGCAGACACTCGGCGGCACGCAGACACACGGCGGGACGCAGACACACGGCGGCACGCAGACACACGGCGGCACGCAGACACACGGCGGCCCGCAGACACACGGCGGCCCGCAGACACACGGCGGCCCGCAGACACACGGCGGCCCGCAGACACACGGCGGCCCGCGGACACACGGCGGCCGCAGACACACGGCGGCCCGCAGACACACGGCATCACGCAGACACACGGCGGCCCGCAGACACACGGCGGCACGCAGACACACGGCGGCACGCAGACACACGGCGGCACGCAGACACACGGCGGCACGCAGACACACGGCGGCCCGCAGACACACGGCGGCACGCAGACACACGGCATCACGCAGACACACGGCAGCACGCAGACACACGGCGGCACGCAAACACACGGCAGCACGCGGACACACGGCAGCACGCAGACACACGGCGGCACGCAGACACACGGCGGCACGCAGACACACGGCGGCACGCAGACACACGGCAGCGCGCAGACACACGGCAGCACGCAGGCACACGGCGGCACGCAGACACACGGCGGCACGCAGATACACGGCAGCACGCAGACACACGGCACGCAGACACACGGCGGCACGCAGACACACGGCGGTACGCAGACACACGGCGGCACGCAGACACATGACGGCATGCAGATACCGCAGCAGAAATGACAGCATGCAGACACGGCGCACGCAGACGTGGCGGCACGCGGCCTCACAGCGGCACGTAGACACGGCGGCACGCGGACACGGCGGCACGTGGCCTCACAGCCAGTTGCTGGGCATGCCGCGACGTCTGTGATTGCCGGCGTGATCAGCGCTACCTACACAGCTAGGCTCTCCGCTGGTCGGGGCACGGCGGGAGCAGCGCCAACGTCGCAGTCGCGCCGTGAGGGCGTCTCACCAGCCAGCTCTGAAACGCTGCCCGGACGTGCGGTGCTCGCCGGCGGAGAGCGTCTCACTAGCCAGCTCTGAAACGCCGCCCGGACGTGCGATGCTTGCCGACGGCGTGCGAGGTGCTGCGGCGGCGTGCTGCCCGGACGTGCGGTGCTCGCCGGCGTCCGCCCGATGAGCCGCTCACTCGCATACAGCTGAGCGCTGTACACTGCTCACCTCGAGTCAGACACCACCCGGATACCTTCTCTTCATCCGCAGTGCAGCACCGCCTGGATGCGCTGCGCCTAATCATCCCCGGCATAGGGACGTTCGCGGTCCACGCCCACGGCCTGCCACCAGCGCGTCAGCAGCGTCTCCGACCCACCTGTAGTTGAGCGCGGCCCGGATGTACTCGGTCTTGTTGGCGTCGGTGACGCGCCGGTGTGTGCTGCTCAGCTGCACCTCGTGACCGGCCGCGGACGGCGTGCTGAACGGCAGCTCGAGCGAGGCCAGGGACGGGTCGTCGCGCAGCCGCAGCAGGCCCGGCAGGTAGTCACGGTCGACCTCGGACAGGTCGGCCGGCGTCAGCGGCAGACCCACTAGCTGCTTCCAGACGGGCTCGGCCAGGCTCAGGCTCAGCGGCGAGCCCGTGCGCACGGCGATGCCCATCAGCACGCCTGCGGAGGAGGCGGCGGCGACGGCAGGTCAGCGCCGGCACCGGGCGGCCTCGTGCCGCGTCATCTCTGCACGGCTGGCCGGCATGCAGATGCGTTCTCGTGATGCTATGAATGGCGCCTTAGGGCTGCGCCGGGCGTGGCGGCGTCATCGGTCAAGGTCCGGACTTCCTTCAGATTCGCATTTCCTTCAGATTCGCATGCACATACCGTAACATCGCCAAGAAAACGTGACGTGCCGGGGAGGTGTAGCAACGCAATACTATTCGCCAAAGGGCGCATAATGTTTTGCACCGATACTGAAACAGTGCTTAACATATACTCCTTTCTCCAAGTCCAGCCAGGCCAGTCCGCAGATAACACTGACGCCCGCAACATGGTCTATCACGCCATCAATCCAGCTAACGGATGTGATCAAATGCGATCACCGCTGCGCCGAGGTTCGTCACCGTTCACCCCGCGGCCCTCAGAAACAAACCCGCCCCTACATTGGCGTCGCACTGCAGCCAGGCGGCTCAGCACAGCGCCTGCCCGCGCGGCGTCCACTCTCACCGAGGAATGTGAACATGTGCCGGTACTGCTGCGATCGGGCCGTCGGGTTTAGCAGGAAGCAGTCGCGGTTGGCGCCGGCCTCGCCGCGGCCGTTCGGCGTGATCATCAGCAGCGGCGGAGAGCCGCCACACAGCTCGTCGCACATCTCGGCGATGCTCTCGCTGTAGCCGCCGCCGCAGTCGTCCACGCTTTCGCCTGCCCGCCGTGGACACGCCGGGTCGGGCTAAGTCGGGATGAGTATGGGGGAGGTCGGGCTGAGTATGGGAGACGTCGGGCTGAGTATGGGGGACGTCGGGCTAAGTCGGGATGAGTATGGGGGAGGTCGGGCTGAGTATGGGAGACGTCGGGCTGAGTCGGGCTGAGTATGGGAGACGTCGGGCCAAGTCGGGCTGAGTATGGAAGACGTCGGGCTAAGTCGGACTGAGTATGGGAGACGTCGGGCTAGGTCGGGCTGAGAATGGGAGACGTCGGGCTAAGTCGGGCTGAGTATGGGCGACGTCGGGCTAAGTCGGGCTGAGTATGGGGGAGGTAGGGCTGAGTCGAGCTGAGTATGGGGGAGGTAGGGCTGAGTCGAGCGGAAGTCGAGCTGAGGTCTGGCAGCCGTAGGGCCGAGGTCGGGCAGACGTACGGCTGAGGTCAAGCGGAGGTCGGGATGAATCGGGCAGAGCTTGGGCGAAGGCTCAGGCAGCTCGAAAGCTCTTCAGTCAGGCCGAGGTTAGAATAAGGTCGGACAGAGGTCGTGCAAAAGCTCGGGCAGCTCGAAAGCTTCTCAGTCGAGCGGAGGTTGGGCTGATAACGGGCTGAGTCTGGCGGGGGTCAGGCTGAGGCCAGGCTGAGGTCAGGCTGAGGTCAGGCTGAGGTCAGGCCGAGGTCAAGCTGAGGTCAGGCTGAGGTCGGGCTGAGGTCAAGCTGAGGTCAGGCTGAGGTCGGGCTGAGGTCGGGCTGAGGTCAAGCTGAGGTCAGGTCGAGGTCGGGCTGAGGTCACGCTGAGGTCAGGCTGAGGTCGGGCTGAGGTCGGGCTGAGGTCGGGCTGAGGTCAAGCTGAGGTCAGGTCGAGGTCGGGCTGAGGTCACGCTGAGGTCAGGCTGAGGTCGGGCTGAGGTCGGGCTGAGGTCAAGCTGAGGTCAGGTCGAGGTCGGGCTGAGGTCACGCTGAGGTCAGGCTGAGGTCGGGCTGAGGTCGAGTGAAGGTCAGGCGAAGGCTCGGGTTGAGGTCGGGCGGTGGTCGGGCAGAGGTCGGGCAGAGGTCGGGCGGTGGTTGGGCGGTGGTCGGGCAGAGGTCAGACGGTGGTCGGGCGGTGGTTGGGCAGAGGTCGGGCGGCGGTCGGGCGGTGGTCGGGCAGAAGTCGGGCGGAGGTCGGGCGGTGGCCGACTGGCGTCCGGCGATAGGGACGCGGCTGTCGGCTGGGTGTGGGCTCATGCGCGGGAGCGGGTATACGTGGGGAGAAACGCGAGGGAGTGATCGTCGGAAAACATGGAAAATGGGCGAGCTTACCAGCCCGACACCGTCCGAAACGGCGACCAGCTTCACACTGAATTACCACGCCCATCAATTGACTTGGCCGCCATCACCGAATCTGGACTTAAGGACTCCCATCTCTCCAAAGAGTTCCTCAATTTTCCCCGACAGGCTTGACCATCCTTTCCAAACTCATTCGCCCAGCCTAACCTCGGCCACTGCGCTCACCCGATCTAACCCAATTTATCACACTACACCCACCCACCCCACCTGATCCTGGCCACATCCGTAGCCAGGCCTAACCTCCCGGCTGCACTCACCGACAAACTTGACCTTCCAGACGCGGTGCGGCAGGAACAGCGCCTCGGGGCCGAGCAGCGACATCTTGCTGGCCATCTGACAGAAGACGGTCTTCTGGGCGGCGGCGGCCGCCGCTGCCGCCGAGCACGGCCGGCCCCGCTGGCGGCGCACCTGCATCCGGTTCAGCTCCACCACCGGCCCGTGCTGCCGGTCCCGCATCATGGTGGCCTGGACCACCTGGCGGCGGGGCCAGGAGGCGGAGCTGTCAGTCGAGCCGCGCTGCGGCACGGCGCCGCAGGCAGGAGGGCTGGACGGACGCTATGAGCATGAGTAGCCACACCTTCAGCACTGCGACAAGTCCGGGTCTGCTTCTTCTTTCACTCCCCATCCCGCAACTGGTATTGTGGACAGGAGGCGTTTCCCTGGGGGCCGTCTCCGCGGAATGGTGCCGCACGCCGACTGCCCACAATACTCTGGGTGGTTACGAGCCAACGCGCTGGGTCATCCAGAGAGAGAGAGAGAGATCATCAATAATCAGGTCAGGTGTTTCCCGTCGCCGGCCACAGCCTGCCCCGTGCGTGACATCAGACCACGCCCTCCGGCAACAGCCAGCTCCGGCCGGTCGAGCTCCGACACATGCCGTAACTGAGCGGCTGACGGTACGCTGCTGGGGTTTCCGCAGCCCGGCTGCTGAGACCGCGTCCCACCCGAACGACGACCTCTACGGGGGATCAGGTCGCGTCGCACAGCCCAGCACCAGCTGGGACGGGGGGAGGGCGTGACGTACCTTCCTGAAGGCAGCCTCCTTGACGGCCGGCACGATGAGTGCGCGCAGCTGGGGCGCGTTCAGGTGGAACATGGGCACCAGTGGGCAGAGCAGGTCCGAGAAGTGGTGCAGCACCACCAGACGGTTGCGCAGCACCGGCACCGGCAACTCGCGCAGGTGGTCAAACTCCAGCGGAATCTGGCCGTGACAGGGGCGGACAGTGAGGGGTAGCCTTGCATACGGAGATCCAATGGAAGTCAGACACCACGAAGGCACGGATTGTTACGAAAGACCAGCATCGCAGTCGCCGACGCACTGCTGCCGGGGCCAGAATGGGCGGGCTGGAGCGTAGTTCGGTGGCAGATAATGAAAGAGTGCACAGGGGCCATGCTGGGAACCAACAATTGGGTGGGACAATATCATTTCAGCGGCAATTAGTCCCAATGGGAGGCACAGAAGTGTGGTGCAGCCGTGTAATCTTAACAGCATTTCAGCTGCCTTCTCTTTGACAACGGGCAGCGTTGATAGGTCACCGACACAAGACAAATCAGCCCTCCGAACAGCACCTGTTTGGGCAGTTTGCCGGTGTTGGACGAGACGTTGGTGCTCCAGGCCAGCGTGTGGGCTGAGCCACACGCCACGCGGTTGATTTTCTTCCCCTGCGGAGGGGGCGCGGCGTCAGTCTCCACCCTGCCCGGTAACCTGACGCCGAGTGCAGCCGCACGTGACCTGTGCGCTTCCCGCCTGCGCTTGTACGGGCCAGACATAACTGGATGAACTTACCGGCTCGGAGCACGACGAATAAAACCTGGTACACATCAAAACCAATCAAATTGATGTCACCACAATGGCTTCGTTAAGCTGAGCCTCCACAAACCAACGAACGCCCGGACTACAATTCGCCAGCCTCTGCCAATATGGAAACAGTATCACAGACCGAACCCCTGGCGGCGCTCACCGACAGTGCGGCCACCAGCCTCGGCCGCTGGATGGCGTTGGTGGTGCCGTCGCCCAGCTGGCCCTCGTCGTTGTCGCCCCAGGTGAACACCTCGCCGTCTTGGGAGCAGGCCACACAGTGGAGCGAGCCTGCGATCACGTGACACGGGACGGGACGTCAGCTGTTGCCTCGGATCGTCACACCCGGCCGCGTCGCGTGGCCCGACCCGCGGAACTCCACGGTGGCCGAGGCACGTCTGCTGGTGGTTCACAACGCGGAACTGCCTGTCAGAACATTAGGCACCGCAACTTCTCAAGACTTATGGTCTGGGTCTCTTCGCTGTCCTTACGTCCTCAGCTAAACACAGAAACAACTACGAGACCCTCCAGTCCCAAACAACTCAGCACGCCACCACGCCAGGGGAGCGAGCTTCCACGAATCTCCCCCACCGACACACCCCAAATCCCACACCCACCGCCGCGCGGCGCCCCACCGCCAGCCGACAGTTAGGGATCAGGGCACGGGCACTCACCAACGGCAATACAGCCGACAGTGAGGGCCCGGGGCAGAGGCACTCACCGACGGCGATACAGACGACAGTGAGGGCCCGGGGCAGGGGCACTCACCGACGGCGATACAGACGACAATGAGGGCCCCGGGGCAGGGGCACTCACCGACGGCGATACAGACGACAGTGAGGGCCCGGGGCAGGGGCACTCACCGACGGCGATACAGACGACAGTGAGGGCCCGGGGCAGGGGCACTCACCGACGGCGATACAGCCGACAGTGAGGGCCCGGGGCAGGGGCACTCACCGACGGCGATACAGACGACAATGAGGGCCCGGGGCAGGGGCACTCACCGACGGCGATACAGACGACAATGAGGGCCCGGGCAGAGGCACTCACCGACGGCGATACAGACGATCCGCTTCCCCTGCAGCGCGGCCACCTTCTTGGGTCGGCGCACGTGATCGTCCGAGCCGTGTCCCAGCCGGTGGTAATCGCCCTTGCCCCTGCGGCGGTACAGAGACCCACCGTCACCGTAGGGCACCGTCACCGCAAACAGCGGGTCAGAACGGTGACGTACTAACATGCAGCGAGGGACGGCCAAAAGGCACAGCAATGCGACATACGCGCGTCAGTGACGGATCGTAATCTCCTCAGAGATGGGCCCCAGCCATCCCCAAAGACGTCCACTTGCCACCCCACTCCAATCTCGCCACTGCCGCGGCCTCTGACCCACCTTCCTGAGCCCCTCGTCCCTTCCCTGCTGCAGTCCCTGCCGCCACCCCTGCCCTGTCCCTGCCGCCGCCCTGTTCTGCCCCTGCCGCCACGCCTGTCCTGCCCTTGCTGCCGCCCCTGCACTGTCCCTGCCGCCGCCCCTGCCCTGCCCCCGCTGCCACCCCTGTCCTGCCCCTGCTGCCGCCCCTGCCCTGTCCCTGTCGCCACCCCTGTCCTGTCCCTGTTGCCGCCCCTGCCCTGCCCCTACTACATCTAGTGGTGCCGCCCCAGTCCCACCCCGGCCGCGGCCGCTCACCAGGTGTAGACGCTGCCGGAGCGCGTGAGCGCCGCCGAGAACTGGGAGCCGCACTCCACCCGCACCACGCCCAGCCCGGAGAGCGACTCGATCTTCATGGGCACCTTGCAGCCGTCCGAGCCGCCGCGCCCCAGCTTGCCGTAGTCGCCGTCGCCCCAGCTCCAGACGTTGTCGTCGTCCGTGATACAGAGGGTCTGCGCGTCGCCAGAGCCGCACGCCACGTCCACCACCTGACGGCGCCACGTCAGGTCAGGTCCGCGCCACACGCCAGCTGCAGGGCATGTACAAAACCTGCCAAGGTCACATCAGGCGAGGCTAACAAAGTCGGGTTAGAGTGTTCATCGTCCAGGTCAGGCCGATTAGCTGGGTCAGGTCAGCCAGGTCAGAAAAGTGAAGTACCGCCGTCACAAAGATACATATCACATCGACCACAATTGACGTTGGAATGCTTGCAAAACATGCCAAGTCTTGCTCAGCCCGCTCGCCAGTTCGAAGACATACGTTTACACATATATAATGTTGGTGGCGTTTTCATAGACCCAGCGCCACCCACAGCCGGATCACCTACTGGCAGGGCCGGCCCACGACCCCGTCCCGTCCCGTCCCGTCCCGTCCCGTCCCGTCCCGTCCCGTCCCGTCCCGTCCCGTCCCGTCCCGTCCCGTCCCGTCCCGTCCCGTCCCGTCCCACCTTCCAGCCGACGAGCGTCTCGACCAGCCTGGGCCTGGTCTGGTCCTCGGAGTCGCCGTGGCCGAGCCGGCCGTAGCGGCCGCGGCCCCACGTGTACAGGTGGCCGTCCACTGTCACGCAGGCCGAGTGCGAGCCGCCGCACGCCACCGTCGCCACGCGCTTGTCGCGCAGCGCGTCGATCAGACGCGGCCGCTCGCACGAGCTGCCGGCAGGGGCGGCGTCAGGCTCAGACCACCGGGAGTCGACGAGAACCGTCGGGTCAGAGGCGGCGGCGTGGTGCAGGGAGGGGTGGTACGGGGAGAGGCGCGGCAGGCACGGTAGTCGGTGACATGGGGCGAGGCGGCGCAGGTACGCCGGTTGGTAACTCGGAAAAAGCGCACGCAACAAAACCTCGCTGAGCTTCGACGATGCAGCGGCAGATGACCTGAGCAGCAGTCACAGTGCATTACTGCATGCCTACGCCGACAGAAGGCCTCGGTCGCCGCGGGGAGGGCTCACCTCTTGCTGCCGTGCCCCAGTTTGCCGTCGTCGCCCTCTCCCCAGCTGTACACCTCGCCCTCCGAGGTTAGAGCCAGGCAGTGCTTGCCGCCGCTGTTGACGGCAACCTGGCAGACGACACCAACAACGCCGCGTCAGCATGGCTGACCACCGATCCGAAGCCGGGCACTCGCGGGATACACGCGTCTTTTGAAGCTGTTGTGTGGTCACAGATCTCGCATCGCCTCGGGATTAGTCAACAGCGCTAGGGTGCGACCAAAACAAACGGTTGACAAAGAAAAATACAGTGCAACGGCTGCTTGGTCGACAACACTGCAATAGGAAAGGTCGTCATGTTCAAATGCTCGTGACCAGCAAGCGCAAATGACTCAAATAACGTTACACTAATAAGCCGGGCTTAAAATGAATGAGGAACCTCACGTGACTACGTAAATACAGCCGCAAGCGACTTCACTTCTTTCCACTGAAATACCACACAGTTCAAACTTAACACGGCGTTGCCCTTTCCTCCTGAGCTGGTGTTCGTCAGCTGCAGGCTGGCGTCGCAGCCCGACCCGTCCCGGCGCGAGGCGCCCCGGTCCCGTCCCAGCGAGAGGCGCCCTAGTCCCGTCCCAGCGCGAGGCGCCCTGGTCCCGCCCCAGCGCGAGGACCCCCGGCCCCGTCCCGGCGCGAGGCGCCCTGATCCCGTCCCAGCGCGAGGACCTCCGGCCCCGTCCCGGCGCGAGGCGCCCTGATCCCGTCCCGGCGCGCGGCGCCCCGGTCCCGTCCCGGGGAGAGGCGCCCTAGTCCCGTCCCAGCGCGAGGCGCCCCGGTCCCGCCCCAGCGCGAGGACCTCCGGCCCCGTCCCGGCGCGAGGCGCCCTGATCCCGTCCCGGCGCGCGGCGCCCCGGTCCCGTCCCGGGGAGAGGCGCCCTAGTCCCGTCCCAGCGCGAGGCGCACTGGTCCCGCCCCAGCGCGAGGACCTCCGGCCCCGTCCCGGCGCGAGGCGCCCTGATCCCGTCCCAGCGCGAGGACCCCCGGTCCCGTCCCGGGGAGAGGCGCCCTGATCCCGTCCCAGCGCGAGGCGCCCCGGTCCCGTCCCGGCGAGAGGCGCCCTGATCCCGACCCGGCGCGAGACGCCCCGGCCCCGCCCCGGCCGTCACCTTCTTGATGAAGACGTGCTGCAGGGTCTCCAACAGGAACGGCGTCGACACGCAGTCGGTGCCGCCGATGCCCAGCCGGCCGCCCGAGCCGTACCCGGTCGCGTACACCTGGACGTGAGCGCCGCACGGAGCCAGGGTCAGACTCGGCAGCGTCTGCCGCTCGTTAGTGTCGAGAGCCGGCGGATCAGGCGAGCGAGCACCGCGCCTTTGGTGACACTACGCCGCGAGCGACAGGGCGCCAATAAAATATCACTTTCACGGGTGGAGGTCGGTCGTCCGGTCCGCGTTTACAGTAAACCCGCAAATATGTGTTCACTTACGCTCCTATGTAAATCAACTAGACAGTGGGCCCCGAACGCCTGCTCACACATCCAGCGCGTAGTTCTGCAGTCTGCGGCGGCACTAGCGGCGGCGGCTGGTGCACCAGGCTTCATCTGAGTATCACCACGAGACCGGAGCGGCGGCTGGCACCGGACACCGCTGACCCCGTCCGCCAGCAGCCGGACAGCGCACGAGAACAGGCGCACGTCTCGTCACACATCCACCGCGTCACCCACATCGGCTCGCCTCCGTCTCGTGTCGTCGGCACTGATTCGGCCGCCTTGCCGTCGGCGACAGCGCCGTCGCCTCCAGCCGTACCTTGCCGTCGGATGTGACCGCGAACAGAGTCTGCTCGCCGCCGATCAGCTGAGCCGGCTTCAGCAGCGAGAAGGCCTCGCACGGGGTGGGCTGTTTGACCTTAGCGCCATCCAGGCCGCCCAGCTGGCCGCGATGGTTGTGGCCCCAGGCGTATATGACGCCTGAGCTGCCCCACGAAAGCGTCCAGTCGTCCGGCCGTCTGTCGGTGGCGACGCCCAGGCGGAGACGTCAGCGGCGCGCGGCAGGACCGGAGGGACAGCGTCGCCGGCTAAGGCCGGGTCATCACACGGCGGCCGGCCAGCGGCGCGCGGCAGGACCGGAGGGACAGCGTCGCCGGCTTAGGCCGGGTCATCACACGGCCCGCCGGCCAGTGGCGCGCGGCAGGACCGGAGGGACAGCGTCGCCGGCTCAGACCGGGTCATCACACGGCGGCCGGCCAGCGGCGCGTGGCAGGACCGGAGGGACAGCGTCGCCGGCTAAGGCCGGGTCATCACACGGCCCGCCGACCATCTGCGTCGGGAGAGCACTCGCGTGGCGTCGACCAGCACTCATCGGTGGCCACCGCGCCCCGCTTACACCGCGCTGAACATCCCCACCACAAGAACAACAAGAACAAGAACAAGGCTGGCCAAGACTGTCAGGGTTGTGGGAAGCGGGCAGGGCAGGTATCGATATGCTCCCCCCCCCTCCCCCCCTCCCCCCCCCTCCCCCGTGCGGCGGCACGGTCGCCTGGCCACCCGCCACCCGTCAGAGGCCGGCGCGGAGTCGCAGCCCGAGCCCAGCGTCACCTGTGTATCCACTGCAGCAGCTGCTGATCCTTATCCTCGGTGAAGACGGCGTGGTCCAGGTGGCGGCAGTCGGTCGCCTCCTCGCCACTCAGTTCGCGGATCTTCTTGGCCACCTGCCGGCGCGTGGACACAACGCTGAGTTAGCGGACTGGGGAGGCTCCGGAGGGAGACTGGGAACTGCAGCGGACTGGGGAGGCTCGGGAGGAAGATTGGGGACTGAGGCGGACTGGGGAGGCTCGGGAGGGAGACTGGGGACTGAGGCCGACTGGGGAGGCTCGGGAGGGAGACTGGGGACTGAGGCGGACTGGGGAGGCTCGGGAGGGAGACTGGGGACTGACGCGGACGGGTGACGCTCGGGAGGGAGACTGGGGACTGCAGCGGACTGGGGAGGCTCCGTAGGGAGACTGGGAACTGCAGCGGACTGGGGAACCTTGGGAGGGAGACTGGGAACTGGGGCGGGCTGGGGAGGCTCCGGAGCGAGACTGGGAACTGAGGCGGGCTGAGGAGGCTCGGGAGGGAGACTGGGGAGAGGCAAGGACGGGTGAGGCTCGGGGGGGGGAGACTGGGGACTGATACGGGCGGGTGAGCCTCGGGGGGGGGGAGACTGGGGACTGACACGGACGGGTGACGTTCGGGAGGGAGACTGGGGACTGACAAGGACAGGTGACGCTCGGGAGGGAGACTGGGGACTGACACGGACGGGTGACGCTCGGGAGGGAGACTGGGGACTGACAAGGACAGGTGACGCTCGGGTGGGAGACTGGGGACTGACAAGGACGGGTGACGCTCGGGAGGGAGACTGGGAACTGACAAGGACAGGTGACGCTCGGGAGGGAGACTGGGGACTGACAAGGACAGGTGACGCTCGGGAGGGAGACTGGGGACTGGCAAGGACGGGTGACGCTCGGGAGGGAGACTGGGGACTGACAAGGACAGGTGACGCTCGGGAGGGAGACTGGGGACTGACAAGGACGGGTGAGACCCGGCTTGGTACGGCAGGAAGGCGGCGGCCTCAGTCGGCTGAAGCGGTGGGAGTTCATAAACCGTTGGTGTCGTGGCCACAGAGCTGGTCACAGGAGTATCACAACAGTGAGCACACAACACTTTACAAATAATTGGCGAAATGCTGAGTCAGGTCCATTTAATAGAGCGGTGAAAAGAGCGACTGTAATCGACGAGGAAACTAGCTGCCTCTGGAAACCCGACACTGAGTCTTGTCAAAGACGGCGTAAGCACCCTGTCTAATCCGACACCCATCAAGAGACCTCGCTCGCGCTGGCCGACGCCGTCCTGATGCCGTCTTGATCCTGACCGCCTCGGATCATAGCCCCACCTCCGCTCTTAATCCGCCCTGATCTCTGTCACAATGACGATCCCGATCCCGATCCCAACCCGGCGGCCGATCCCGATCCCGACTCCCCCAATCCCGACTCCGACTCCAATCCCGATCCCGATCCCAATCCTGACCCCGATCCCGATCCCGACCCTGATCCCGATCCCGATCCCAAACCGGCGCCCGACCTCATCCTGGAACTGCGCGGGCAGCTGCTGGCGCTGGATGAGTGCCGTCATGACGCGGGAGGCCAGGCAGTAGCGGCGGAACCAGCTCCAGCGATGGCTGTCGGCGATGGCCGGCAGACGGTCGAACGCCAGCTCGCACGCCAGCGCCACCAGCTCCTGGGTGGGCGGGAGGCGGCGCGCTCGTCAGCCGCCGAGCGTACCGGCGAGGGCTGCACGAATCCGGCTCACTCACGCAACACAACACGGCCAGCCCGCTGTGCGCGGCAGACCGCACCGCTGCGGCACCCTGTGGTGTGAAGCATTTGTGTGCTCATCGAAACCCGCGCCGACAACACCGGCGTCGCGTCAAGCGGTCTCGACAACGGCGAGGACTGACAAGTTCAGCAGCAGTTTGGCGGGAGCTGCCCAAAGCTGCAGAGGGCGGAGTCACGACCTGCTGGGGATATGGCGGGGACGAAATGCATGACTTGGGAAGGCAGCCGAAACGCCTGCACCATGATGAAGCTGCAATAAGTGAGTGGAGTGTGGAGCCTCCATCTTATCAGTAGGTAGCGCCGAAATACCGCGCACTAGGGCGACCACCTCGTGTTCGTGGTCGTAGCTGCCGGATCGCCCCACGCGGCGCTGCACAAGCTGGCCAACCACAAGACGCAATGGTCTCTCTACAGAGCCCGTCGCGATGGGTGGAGATGATGAGACAAACCGGTTATAACTACGGGGGTCGGAGTTGAGGATCAAATGGTGTATGGCGTCATGTAGGATGCGTGCGAATGTAGGGAATCCGACGTCTACGGGAGTCGTGAGCTCAGGCAGCCACTTCCGTCCACTCTCCTGACAGCCCCTGTCACGTGACACGCGACCATCCACCCCGGCACGGCGTCACTGGCGCCGCCGGCTCCCACCTTGCAGAACTCGCTGTGCATCAGCTGCTTGCCAGCGCGCACTTGCGGCTCCTCGTACTCGTGCTGGCGGAGTAGCGCCTCGGGCAGCGCTTGCACGAGCACCGTCAGCGGGCCGCCGGCCTCCTGGCCGCCGCGCCGCGCGCCCAGCAGGTAGCGCAGCTGCTGCAGCGCCCAGCGCCGCTGGCCGGCCAGCAGCGCGCTCAGCTGGGCACAGGCGGCCAGCGCCGCTGTCAGGCGCGCCACAGTGCCGGGCTCACGCGCCGCCCGCACGTCCAGCACGTGCCTGCCGAAAGGGGAGGGCGGAGTCAGGCTGCTGCCGGGGGCTGAGGCCTCTCTCTCTGCTGCCTAGTGGTGGAGTGTCGGTGGGGTGGTGGTCTGGGGGAGGCAGTGTCCGAGGGCGGCGGCCGCTGACAGCCGCGTGAACAGACGGGGCCAGCGAGTGTAACAGAGTGAGCGAGATCAGGGCACCGGCGGCGTTAGCCAGACCGAGCATCTAACAGTGACGCTGCGCGCATCCTGATAACCCGATCACCTTGCGGCGAGATCACGCTCCCGTGTTCACCGCACCTATCCATGGACCTACTCATTCCTTCCAGCTCCACCGCCACCGTCCCCGAGTCTGCCCGACGAGCGCCAGCGGCCTGGCGTCGCTCCGCAGCGCTGCCGGCCGCCCCCTCACCTGACCAGGTCTGGCACCTGGTCAGGTGCGCCTGGCGTCGCTCCGCAGCGCCGCCGGCCGCCCCCTCACCTGACCAGGTCTGGCGCCTGGTCAGGTGTGCCTGGCGTCGCTCCGCAGCGCCGCCGGCCGCCCCCTCACCTGACCAGGTCTGGCACCTGGTCAGGTGCGCCTGGCGTCGCTCCGCAGCGCCGCCGGCCGTCCCCTCACCTGACCAGGTCTGGCACCTGGTCAGGTGCGCCTGGCGTCGCTCCGCGGCGCCGCCGGCCGCCCCCTCACCTGACCAGGTCGAGGCTGGGCCGCGACAGGATGCGCCGGTCGGACGAGCCGGCGGCGGCGGCGGCGGCGCCGCGCGGCAGCACCGGGTGCACGGTGAAGCGCCAGCCCCAGCTGCCGCCGCCGCCCAGCTCGGAGCCGAACTTCCAGCGCAGCTCGGCGCCTGGCACGCGCAGCTCGCACGCCCAGTCGGCCGGGTCGCGGCCCGAGCGCACGGCCAGCACGCGGCCGCCGGCGTCCGTCAGTGTCAGCGGGTCCCGCCGCCGCTCCGTGCAGCACTGCGGGTCGAACTCGACCCACAGAGACTCGGCACCTGCCGACGGCCGGGCGTTAGTGTCAGCGGGTCCCACCGCCGCTCCGTGCAGCACTGCGGGTCGAACTCGACCCACAGAGACTCGGCACCTGCCGACAGCCGGGCGTCAGTGTCAGCGGGTCTCGCCGCCGCTCCGTGCAGCACTGCGGGTCGAACTCGACCCACAGAGACTCGGCACCTGCCGACGGCCGGGCGTCAGTGTCAGCGGGTCTTGCCGCCGCTCCGTGCAGCACTGCGGGTCGAACTCGACCCACAGACTCGGCACCTGCCGACGGCCGGGCGTCAGTGTCAGCGGGTCTTGCCGCCGCTCCGTGCAGCACTGCGGGTCAAACTCGACCCACAGAGACTCGGCGCCTGCCGACGGCCGGGCGTCAGCGCTGCACCAGCATGTGGCGCCGTTAGCATGTCGCAATTTCTTACTAAGTTCCCCGCTAGGCTAGCCGTGGCGCACTGTCGGTGCGAATCCGCAGCCATGATTAGCAGGGATGGCCTTCATGTCCTTGCTAAGTATGGCTCGCAAGGCTAGACCCTGCCAGTAGCTGGTGACCCTGGTGACACTGGTGACATGTGTTACCCGCAGGGCACATGTACCCCATCACAATGGTGGTATTCCAGCTTGGACGGCTTCTGTCAAGACATCACATCTAATCCTGCGGCGACACAACCATTTTGTCGTGCGTAACCCAACTTTTTCGCACACCTGCGCAATGGCGATCATTCACGGAGTCACATGTGGGCGACTTCTAGTAGGCGTACCCACATACCTGGCACAGTCAGCCCTTCAGATGCGTGGTCAGATACTCAGCACTCTGGGCATCTGGGTCACGGACAAGAGCGACTGCGACACCAATAACGACAGCTATTCCGTGAACCGTAAAATCCGAACGCCCTGAGACAAAAAGCATGCAAGCGCAAGACAGTTGGCAATGGCGCCAACGCCAGCGCAATTGCTGTGGACGCACATGTTTTACAGTGGCGATCACACGGCGTCACAGGCGAGTCGGTAGCGTGACCGGCGACGCCTGACGCGGCTCGCACCGCCCGTTGAGGCGCGGCCACAGACTGACCTGGTATGCGCACGTGTCCCGAGAGGTTGGTGTCGCCCAGGTAGGGGTGCAGCGACTCCTGCACCACCGGCGGCGGCAGGTGGACCGCGCCGCCGCCGCCGCTCGCCACGTCCTCCAGCTCAGTGACGCACGTCTCCAGCAGCATGGCGCTGACGGCCGGCTGACAGCGGCCCATCGCTGCCGGCAGACAGGTCAGGTCAGGTCACGTCACGTCAGGTCAGGTCACGTCAGGTCACGTCACGCCTCCAGCAGCAGCACGGGACTGTTGTCAGATGACTGCGGCCCATCCCCGCCATGAGAGGGGGGGGGAGGGCAACGCAGGGACGTGAGGCCGGGTGAACACCCACTACTGAGGGACACGGCGGCTTGTCACGTCAGCACGGCATCAGGGCCTTTCTCTCAAAAGAACGTTGGCGTCCAGTTAGGCCATGACTCAGTTAGGTCATGATTTGGCTCCGTCATGACTCAGTAAGCCATGACTCGGTTAGCTCATGGCTCAGCAAGTCATGACTTGGTTAAGTCATGACCCAGTGATGCTGGGATGCCGGGTTCAGGTTAAGCAGCGTCATCGGCGCAGTATGGCAGGTCATACGGGAAAGCTACACGTAATTGTCTCTAAATGTGACTGGCAGCTCGCACGTGCCATCTTTGGTTGCAAATATCTACGAGGTTTTATATCCCGTGACCCGATATGGAAAAACACTGTTAACGAGTGTCTCGACGTCCCTTAACAACAGTGAAAACTCGGTGATGGCCTATGCCTGGTAAGGCGAGGTTTATACACTGCCTCAACAATGCAATTACATGTGATAAAAAATCCGCCATGACATACAATGTTTCACTGGTGAATCGACCACTTGGGTCGATTCGACAGTCGCGTTACTTCAAGCATAACCAGCTCCGGTTCAGCAGAACCCCACCGGCATCTGCCGGTCCCGGTCCCGGTCAGTTACCCTTCAGCAGATGGGCCAGCGCCGCCGTGGCGTCCTGGCCGATCCGGCCGGCCGCCGACAGCTTCAGCAGGTCCACCAGGCCGCGCGCGTCGTCGGCCGTCAGCAGCGAGGTGAAGCTGTCCAGCGGCAGCTCGGGTGTCCGCACCGGCTCCACCTGGCGGGATGGCCGGCCGGCGGTGAGGCTACGATGTGGCGCCACCGGTCGCGCTGCATCGACCGTATACT